CTCCAAGGACAAGAGGGACAAAAAAGGAGTGATTTGACAAGACGGCTAGAAGGGATGAGAAAGTAAAGAAAAATTACAAGAAGTTCGTCAAATGAACGAATAAGGCATTGACATCCACAAGAAGCGAAAACGTGGTCGATGCTACCTCTAGTGATCAAGAGGTTGCCAATCTATGTCTCGTGGCTCTCAGCGAATGAGAAATTGAGGTAAATGATCCTCCATTTGGGTCCACTTTAATGTTCTTCAAAAGAAGATTCTCCGTGTGTGTCCACTTTGCTCGAAGTTCTTCTATTTTGCGGGCATTTACTTGATCCATGATGTTTTGCCTCGATGCCCTCCATATCACTTCAACTGCTCACCAACTTCTTTGCAAATAACTTCTTGCATTGCATGCCTTCTAATAGTCATCATGTGAACCCATCTTGGTTTTAATCTTTTGTTTCTTCATGCCCATTACTTCTCACTTCTCCTCTCGGTCAAACTTTCTCTAGGCTATAACTCACCTTCATTATTCCACATTGCAAAGTCGTAACTTGGTTGAATGGACAAGCTTGAAAATACTTTGGGAAGAAAAAATCACGTATAAGTTGGGTATTAAGTTAACACAAGTATATTCGATCATTCTTTCAACATAGTGTTTTGGTTTTAGGAAATGTAGGAAGTATAAAATAATAACTCTAAGGTTGTAAATGCATTATAGAAGTCTCTCAAAGAATTTTTATCTATTTTTCCCCATAACCATTAATGTTCTGTATTTTGCAGCCCCATCGGGCTTTCCTGGGCACTGGTTGGGCCACTTTCTTCTAGATCCGTTTGACTAGGGCCATCTTCCCAAAGTGCAATATCCTCCTTAGCTCTTGATGCAAGACTGTTTTTCATGGACTAAAGCTGGTTCTGGTGGCTTCTTCCGTAAATCTGCTTCTCTTGAAATCTCTTCCTTTGAATTTGTTTGATATCTGAGCATGACAAACCTCCTAGAAAGCAGGATCAAGTTGAGTCGCTGATTATCTTGAATCACAGCCTTTGGGTCGTCCTCTAATTGCTTGCACATTATTCGGGATACCCACTTTGCCAAAACTCCTCCCCTTAGTCTAAGGCTAAATTGGAAATGATTCGAATCATCTTGACCAAAGTCGACTTTTCTGCGCCACTATCTTGATTCGGAATATGCAAGCCACATGTAATCATAATTCACTTGATCATATGGTGTATATAGAGCACTCCCTCCCCTTCTTGCCACTCATTTGTGATAGGATCTGAACAATCACAACCTCTTTTCCTCCTCTAGTCCGAGAATACGAAACAGAAAGCTAATCCTAGGAACTTGTCGTCCATGCAATGTAAAGTCGTGATACAGAGTTCTCCTCAACATGAAGCAACCACTCCGGCATCTCTCCTCCGGGAGTCTATCCAAACGTTACATGAACTACTTCTATGCCCAAAATACAGTTGTTTGTACTATGTCCTGGCAAACAAAACATTGAAGAACCACATCGGAGCCAAAGTCATGCTCTGGTTGTGTGTTAACATTCCCATTATGGGTGATCCTATGTTGTCATGAGTTTAAAAACGGATGAAATTCGTGCTGTTTTTACCGGCTATTGCTGGATCATTGAAGAACTTATTGCAGTTGTATAATTTAGTTACTGACTGCATAAATATATTTGGTTATCTGACATTTCAAAAAAGTTACTACTTGTGAATGTTACCAACTTCGGATATACCAGTACGTAAATTTATTAGCCATACCAACTAATTACTAATTAAATTAAAGTTCCGACTATTGTAAATTAAGAACTACTAATTACTTGGAGAAATTGCTAGTTACCGAAAGGTTTAAGCTTACTTTTAAACGTGGAAAGTAAGTATTGACTTTTAAAATTTGCAAACTCCCAATGGATTGAAAATTATCTTTTCCTAAAGATAAATCAATAATCAACCCGAGAAATTACTAGCTATCGTGAAAGATACGTACTTCCTTTTTCTATATAAACGTTTTTAATGAAATGAAAAGTCACTTCGTGTAATTACATATTTGCCAGTTGAAGGTTACTAATTACTAATTAGATGGAAATATACCACTTACAAATATTTTGAAAACTACTTATTCGGGAAAAAAGTCACCAAACTTATAGAAAAATTACTGCTCTCGAAGATAAAAGAAGGGAGCTAACCTCTATGGGCCCGTGTATTGATAATCTCTCCGTGTTGGTTGAATCTTAAAAGGGTCATTTTTGCCGCGTCTAACTAATCGTCTTCCATCCTAAGTAGCCAAAAAGGAGATTGTTGCTGACCACCGCCGACCCTACCATTTTTTTTCGTTAAGCAATATCTTCCTCAACTTGCATATATCTCTGTTTATTCTCCTCCTCTTCCGATACCCCATTTTCGTTACTGTTGCGCCCCCATCTTTGCCACTGGAGTCCGACCGAGGGGAGAGCAATCCGATCTTTCTCCGGCCGACACTAGCAACAAACAACATGCTCACTTGCTTTTCCGATATAGAGATTTAATTTACTCTCATTGCGAAGAAGTTACCGAGTGCAATTACTTTGTATATTGACACTTGCTATTTCGATATTTAGAGTTACTAGCGAGACGAGGAGTTTCTAATTACTGGGTTGTTGAAATTCACTCGATGTCTTAGAAATTACTAATGAAATGGAGATGTTGCTCATTGCTAACAGAACTAGGGGTGTGCAAAAGAACCGGGACCCGCCCGGACCGCTCGGAATCGGACCGGAACCGGTGGTTCCCAAGGGAACCGATCCGGTTCCCGGTTCCAATTTTTTGGAACCGGTACTGTTTGGGCCGGTTCCCGGTGTGGAACCGCCCACCCGCCCACCCGGACCGGACAGGTAATATAATAATAATATATTTTATTTTTAATTAAAAAAATCTGACCAAAAAAAATTTAAAAAAAAAAGAAGAAAATTTGTTATCATGTCCGAAGCTCTTGTGTAGTTGGGATACCTTGGTCATTTTTCCCAATAATTAATGGGTACCACTTGATTTATGGATGATATGGTTAATATAATCGATCATAGTATAGGAATTGTATGAAAAGTTATGTTATTTTCCTTTTGTTCTGTTGATCCGACGTTGGTTCACAGATTTTTTTTTTATTTGTCTAGGAAAACTTGTTGAGACCGGTTCCATGGACCCACCCGAGAACCGGACCGGACCGGCGGTCCGATTCTCGGGCGGGTTCATGGAACCGACGGGCGATTCTTGGTTCCAATTTTTGGAACCGGTCCTGTAGCAAGCGGTCCACGGTTCCGTGGTGGGAACTGCCCACCCAGACCATGCACACCCCTAAACAGAACCATACAAGCTTTTTTAGTATAAGAAGTAGCTAACAAGGATATGACAAGTTGCTATAATTACATGTGGTATATCGGTACCAACTGAATTAGATGAAAACTTACTCACCAAGTAGAGAAGTTAGGTGACAATAATAGCATATACTCATGCACTTCAATCTTTCATGATCACAATGATACAATCTCATACTTATCATTTCACCTGAATAAAAATTCAATGTCAAAACCACTATTGCTCAACGCGATTGGATCACGTATCACTCTCAAACCCAACATTGGGTCGATTGATCAGGCCTTGATTTGCTCTGAGTTTCACCCAGATTCGGGCTCTCAAATATGGTCGTTGCTCCACTTCTTCAACAAATCGAACTCAATTTGCATCCGAACTTTGGACGGATCGGGTCAAATGTCCGACGATGTGACTAGAATTTTCTAACGATCTCGATGCCATTAACCACGTATGCCTCTCGAACCAACCATTGGGTCAATCAGGCCTTGATTTGGTTCGAGTTTCGTTCGAATTCGGGCTCTCAAATCGGGTAATTGCTTCGCTTCTTGAACAGATTGAATTCGTTTGCGTCGTGTTTTGGACCGACCGGGTCAAATTTCTAACGATGCCCGGAATCACACTATTCTTAACGACCTCAATGCCCGCACATCGTTCGGCAACGTCGAACTCTTGCTACGGGAGCAGCGTAAAATACTGCAAAAGATGGTAAGGCTGGAAAAGGTGTGCAGTTGGACTGTCGTACGCAGACCTTTCTCCTTTTCTTTTTTTTTATGTCTTATCTTTCTTTAAAAGGAAATGCATTCGGTACCTTATACGTACGCTGTCTGTATTTCTCGTACGTACCAACACGCTTGCCCTAAACCACCACGAGTGCCTCTCTCTTTTAGTTAGTCAACCTCCGCCCCAGCCGCCTCGGACCTCGAGGTCGTGCCTCGAATTTGAGGCGTCGAAGGGTCGTGCGACCCTCGACTCGGGGTCGCAATCTCCATTAGAGGTCGGCTTGAGCGAGAAATAATTGGGGATAGAGATGGAGTCGAACATAGACAGTGGTGGTGTCAAGCGGCCAGTGTGGAGACAAATGGCTAAGAGGGTGACGATAGAGATCGCAATAGTGGCGAACGGTAGGGACGATGCATAGATGCGGACCAAGTAAGGAGGAGGAGGAAAAATAGGAAAGGAAAAAAAAAAACAGAGAATGAATTTCCTTTTTTGTGAATCCAACACTGAACCGGCATAACTTTTGTTGAGTAAGCAAACCATGTTTTCCGAGCAAGCGAACTGAGTCAGGCGAAAAACATACGAATGGCAATTCATTTGAAGAGAGCACCGCACTAAACAACGTTTTGAAAAATTAAGGTACTAACAAAAGTTCGTACCCTCAATTGAAAATCGAAGTAAATTTATCATAAATATATTAGTTCGAAATTTTTTATGATCAAAAAATTAATTCAGGATAAAATTATCACAAGTATATGAGGTTTTTTATAATATTAGCCCAAAATCGAGCAAAAATAGAAATATTTGTGATGTCATTAGCCTGAAAAAAAAAAAATCTACCGAAAAACCTTGAAAACACTAGCAAAAATACCCCATAATGTCTTCCCAGCAGCAGCTCGAATTCAAAAAAAAAGTCACTCACATTTTTCCACCACGTTCCCCACCTTCACGTGAACTTTCTCAGTCCCCCCCATACCCCCCAAGCTCCACTCCACAACCCAAGCAAAGCAAATGACACTCGCCCCACAATGCCCATGACCACCCCCGCCGCCGCCGCCGCCGCCCTTTCCCTCCTCCTCCTCCTCGCCGCCGCCGCCGCCGCCGCCGCCGACCCGCCCCTCGACTCCCTCCTCCCCTCCGACGCCGTCGCCCTCCTCTCCTTCAAGTCCCGCGCCGACCTCGACAACCGCCTCCTCTTCACCCTCAACGAGCGCTTCGACTTCTGCCAATGGCGCGGCGTGAAGTGCGCCCAGGGCCGCGTCGTCCGCCTCGCCCTCCAGGGCTCCGGCCTCCGCGGCTCCCTCGCCGCCGGCACCCTCTCCCGCCTCGACCAGCTCCGCGTCCTCGCCCTCCACAACAACTCCCTCTCCGGCGCCGTCCCCGACCTCTCCGGCCTCGCCAACCTCAAGTCCCTCTTCCTCGGCCGCAACGCCTTCTCCGGCCCCTTCCCGGCCTCCCTCCTCTCCCTCCGCCGCCTCCGGGTCCTCGACCTGGGCTACAACGGCTTCGCCGGCCCGATCCCGGCCCAGATCACCGCGCTGGACCGGCTCGACACCCTCCTGCTGGAGGGGAACCGGTTCAGCGGTCCGCTGCCGCCGCTTAACCAGACCCTCCTCGGCGCGTTCAACGTCTCCGGGAACAACCTCACCGGCTCGATCCCCGCGACCCCGACTCTGTCCCGGTTCGACCCGTCGTCGTTCTCCGGGAACCCGGGGCTCTGCGGCGAGGTGATCAACAAGGCGTGCGCCTCGCGCGCCCCGTTCTTCGGGCCCTCCTCCTCCTCCGGCAACGGTAGCGGCTCCGTGCCGGCTCCGCTGGCGCAGAGCGCGCAGTCGCAGAACGGCGTCGTTGTGTCGCCGGCGTCTTCGTCGCCGAGGAAGCCCAAGAGAACCGGCGTGATCCTGGGCTTCACGCTCGGGCTCATACTGCTGGTTTCCGCATTGTTGATTGTCTTTATCTGGTGCAAGGCACGGAAACGCCAGACCCACGCGAGCCCGAAAGAGCCCGCGGAGCCCGAAGAGCCCGTTCAAGCGAGAGCCGTGGATCCTGCAGCTCCGAGCTTGATCACGGAGCTGCAAGAGAAGTACAACAGCAAGATTCAAGAGGCTCAGAGGGTTCGGAGGAGTGGGTGTCTGGTGTTTTGTGCTGGAGAGTCACAGCTGTACACGTTGGAGCAGCTCATGAGAGCGTCTGCCGAATTGCTCGGCAGAGGCACGATCGGGACAACGTACAAGGCCGTGCTTGACAACCAGCTGATCGTGACTGTGAAGCGGCTCGACGCCGGCAAGACGGCGGGCACGAGCGAGGAGGTGTTTGAGGGGCACATGGACTCGGTGGGCTGGTTGAGGCACCCGAATTTGGTGCCCATGAGGGCTTTCTTTCAGGCCAAAGGGGAGAGGCTTGTGATCTTTGATTATCAACCCAATGGCAGCCTCTACAATCTCATTCATGGTATGTACATTACTTATTTGTGAATACCATTTTGATTATTGCTTGATCATTGAGTATCAAAAAGTTTGGCTTTTTTTTTTTGGGTCTCTCTTTGATGGGTTGATTGAATGAGTTGTATTGGGAGACTTCATGGGTGTTAACATCAGAGGGCCTACTTGGGAAGATGAGTTGGTGTCTGCTTGCGGTTAGAGCCTGTTGTTTGTTTGTTCGTGCAGTGGGTGGTTCTCAGATGCTATTTTTGCATTATTGGCCATGCTTTGGAGTAAATGCTGCAACATGTTGCAACCTTTTCGAGCTCATTTATGCATTTTCCTTCACTGTTCTGAAAAAGAAGAGACATTTCTTGTTGACTTCTTGAGAAATGCTGGAAATACGTAGTAGATTATTAAATGCAGTTTAATAATGAGGTGCATTCACTAGTGTTGTTGCCTTCATCAACTCAAGCGCGAGCTTTGGTTTGGTAATATCAACAACAACTGAAACTGATGGCTCATTGATTAAATTGATAAAGAGTGGTCTATTGTATTGTAGCTGTATAAAGTGAAAATTGTACTGATAAAACATAAGGGTATGTAATGCAAGGGGATACGGACAGCCAACCCAAAATACAGATTGAAATCAACTTGTAATCAATGTCTCATGGTCCATGATTTGTTAAATTTGCTGTTATCCTTTAATCGAGGGTTAGACATCCATATGCTATTTCCAATTCAACTTGAAATTGAAATGGGATTCCTCTTAAAGTATGCAAGATAGAGCAATAGTCAATTTGTTATGTGGTTCAGTTAATACATTGCCAGTTATTTCTTTGCAATCCCCCCCGCTGGCCGACAGGGAGGCTTTGAGCTATATCTCATGTTGGGATTAACACCAGGATTGCTAAAGCAATCTTAAGACTGACTTCAACTAAGAACAAGCGTGTTTTAACTTCTGGTGGCTGTCTACTTTGTGAGCATAGTACACATTTTTTGGAATCTTATGGAGGAGTTCTTTGACACTTTTGAGTACCAGGAAGCTATTGGAGGCAAATATCTGGTTTATATTTTTTTTTTTGATTTATTACTGCTAACGTCTTTTTAGGCAGTAAAATACTTTTCAATTTCCTCAAAAAGTCCTCAAGATATAGAGGCTTAGGCAATCTCTACTCTGTTCTGACCGTGAACTGGCTGCTCTTGTGGACTGCTTACCAGCATTTTGCCTTAAATTAATGTTGAATCTACTAACCTTTATCTTTTATCGAGCAAGTCAACGTTGTATCATAGCACAGTAACTCACATGTTCAAGCATTTGAATATAGCTCGAGTAGACCAGACTGAAGAACTTTGGTCATATATATGTCCATTTCTTTAATGCTTTGGAGATCTTCTTTGTGATACAGGTTCAAGATCAGCAAGAGCAAAGCCTCTTCACTGGACATCGTGCCTGAAAATAGCAGAAGATGTAGCCCAAGGCCTCGCATACCTTCATCAAGCATCAAGACTTATACATGGGAACCTGAAATCCACCAACGTTCTTCTCGGCACAGACTTTGAGGCCTGTCTCACAGATTATTGCCTTGCAGCCCTCGCCGAATGCCCTCTAAACGAAGATCCAGATTCTGCTGCTTATAAAGCCCCTGAGTCCCGAAAGTCCATTGGTCGAGCCACTCCAAAATCCGATGTGTATTCCTTTGGTGTCCTTTTACTGGAACTCCTGACCGGTAAACACCCATTGCAACATCCCTTCCTTGTACCTAGTGAAATGCTGGATTGGGTCAGGGCAATGAGGGAAGAAGACAGTGAGGATAAGAGACTCGGGATGCTTGTTGATGTAGCTACTGTGTGTAGGGTAACATCCCCCGAACAGAGGCCGGTGATGCGGCAAGTTTTGAAGATGATACAGCAGATAAAGGAGAATGTGATGATGGACGATAATGCTTCTGTTGGATATAAGTAGGTTTTTGTCTGTCCACAAGATCTCTCGAGATGAGAAAACACGGGAAGTAGGGATTGAGTGTGCATTAGCAGCTTGTTAGAAAAATTAATGTTATGAAAGATATTCGATATCATTGCCCGGTGAATTAAGGGGTATGTTTTGACTCGCTGAGATTTCTGCCGTGCCCATGTGCTGGTAGATAAGTAAAGTTCCATTAATTTTGAGTCACTTTTATTTAGATCTATATCATAGACAACATTCTCCCTGATTTGGAGTTTTGTGCTTTGACATGGACCTGTTACTGTGCACATACTCTTCTACAGGTTCTTTCTGCATAGCCTATACTCAGGATATAGGCATACTCTGCAGAGTGTGTAGTAGACATGATCAATGAGAGGTCGAATTTTGACGTGTAGAGTACTTTCCCAAGCTCGTCCCTTTACTGTTTCAGCTCGGGAGGGCCCAGCAGTTCGCCGGGATTGCGGTCGGGCCTAGTCGGTAACTATTCTGCGTCCGGTGAAGTTTGTGCAGGCACATAAATACATGTGCTTGCCACTTGGTAAAAGTTAAATACTTTGTGTGGTCCTTTGGCTTTGGAACTTCAAAACTGGTCTCGTCTTTTCTCGCGTCTCTCTTTTGAACGAAAGGCATCGAAGTTTTCGCTTTGCTTTAATAAAACAGAGCCGTGTCCGGATGTTTCTCATCAACTTTCACAACAAAAGAGTGCTAAAACTTTCTTTTTCACTTGCTGTGGTCGTCTCTTTATTTCCTCGGGGATCAGGAAAGATAAAAAAGCGAAAGCAACCATACAAGAACAAAGCTAACTAGATAAGACTTCGGTTAATGATAGGATACGATCCATTTGACATCAAAGTGTGTAGAGTTTGCAAAACTGAGAGGGAAAATTGGGGAAATGAGACAACTTTGTCAAAAGCGAAAGGTCAAAAAGTTCTTTGATTTGGAAGGAAAAAGGAGAGAAATGGAGGGGATTGGACAATGGGAGTGTTGGACATGGCAATGAAAGGTGAAGAAGCAGCAGCACATGATGTGGGCGTCCCATGTTTTGGCGGGGATGGTGGCGGTGGAGTCTTGGTGGACCACTCAGGCATCGCCTTTTTGTCAGTGTGGGGTTCAGCCAAGGCACGCGACGACAAACTTGGGTGGCCCGGTAATGAGCGCGGTGCTGAACGCGAGTTTATGAGGTTGGTTTGCTGCGGAGATCTATAGGCACGTAAGGATGATGACTTTATCACGTCATTGATGAATATCATGACAAATAGGAGTAACTCATTTGATAAGAAGTAGCATGCTCTCAATTTTGGAGATAAATTGAAGGATATGCACATAAGGGTCTACGGGGAACAGCTTGATAAGTTCAATGTTCTTTTTCGGTTGGGGAATGTTTGGTGTGTTCGACATGTCACGTATAGCCATAGTAATTTAATGTTCTAAATTTACCTGACTGTCGCTCCAAGGTCGGGACCTCATGGACTTCAATGGCATCTCATGTAAGGTCTGAGGGTCATCGACGATGATCGATGATATAAATTATCGATGAGGTGGCGACCCGATATGCGGTGAGGCGGATCGATGATTGTCGAGGTGGGGGGCCAACCTAAGCCAAGAGTGTATTGATCCGTCCGTTGATTACTAGCATGACGTTAGGAGCTTCTCACGCAGCTTTAGGTATGCCAGACAAAGACTCAATTTGTTTCCAGCCCAAATGCATCTTTTGCTTCCTATGCAGCTTAAAAATGCCTGAGAAAGATTGGATTTGTGTTTTTGGCTAAAATCCATCATCAACGCATTTGTTTATCAAACAGCCTTTCTCTTTTATACATTAAAATTAAAATACTTAAATTGATCACACCAAAACACTTTCTAAATATATATTTAGCAAATAGTCTTTTTCTCAAAATTGTTTCTAAGGCACTTTCCAATTGCAGTTTAGCTTCGACAAAAAATAATTATAGTTTATCAAAAGAGTCTTTGCTTTTTCCCAAAACCCTTCAAGTTAAAGTCCTTTGCCTTTCCCCAAAGTTTTTTCCCAAAAGCTGAACCAAACGCACCTATGTGCTTTCATGTGCATTGCTTTTGATGGTTGTGATCAGTATACATGGGAAGTTTGCAGAACTGCTGTTTTTCATGAGCTGTTTCGACATGGTTGGCAGTACTTCTCATTTTTTCACTCGTAACAGCGGCAGATGCGATGCTATCAAAGTGACATAGTGTATAAACCTTTTCCACAAAACATAGTCGGGAAGCGAGACATCTTGCATCGAATGGCACACAGATTCAATAGGAACGTAGTCGGAGACAGACATCAAAGACAGGGTGAATTGTTGTAGCCAAGTAGCTACTTTTGCTACATCCCCCATGCTCAATTCGCAACATCTTCATTCAACAGCAATTCTCCAGTTTCCACATTAAGTCACAGTGTAGATTAGTGAGTAGTTTATGAAAGCCTTTGCCCAATTAAAAACAAATATAAAAGTTTTAAATCAACTCGACCTAAGTTGCCATGGCGTGCGCGTGACGGCAAATCCCTTCCAAGCTGAGAATTTTTAAGATTGTTGTTCAGGGCCTTCCCTTTCAAGACGACCTAATCAAAATGGTAACTTGCTGTAATGAGACAATGCTTTAGATAAACGAAAAAACGAAAGTGAACTGGTCACATTTATGTGAAGGTAGTAAATGTCAGCTCCCTCAAGACGGGCATCGGACTTGTTGCACTGATCTCACAAGCTAAAACTTACAGTATAAGAGAAAATGCCTTAAATTTGCGAGGCTCGGTATGTGTATTGGTTCATTTGCGGGTGGCAGTTGATGGAAACAAGAGACCTAGGAAGGTTAAAACTTGCAATGCAGTAAGTACGAAAGATATTATCACCCACAAGATCACAGACATATCGCAAAGTCTAGTGTTGGGCTTGTCTCAGTCTATGATCGTTTGTAATTGAAGGACAGTCTAATAAATAGAGTACTCCTGATGGTAACAAGGCTCGGACATAGACAAAAGTGCATATGCCTCCACACAAAGTGAAAACATTGTCACATGTCTGATCTTTACTGGGAAAATCCATTAAACCTTCGGTTTGCTTTTATACACGAACAAGCAGAATAATGTAGAGCACTGATAACATTTAGTTTAAGAATCAGGAAATTGAGAAATGATTTATCCTAATTCCCAGTCAAAATCGCCAATTTATCAAAGTCCTTTACATGCCACGCATCAATATGCCATGAGCATTCGATTTCGTAATATGCTTTGAAAAGCCAGTTAATGCCAACTTTCACATCCTTATGACTACCTTTCCTGGACAGGAAAGTACTGCAATCCAACTACTGAATATTCACTTTTCAGCTAAAGCAGTGGTAGTCGTGGAGTGCCGTAAAACATGTCAATGAATTCCAGATTGAGAAGAATAACCGGTACATTTGGAGGCTTGGAGCCCATGGCTGGTGATAACTAGTGCAAGCGATAACAGGAAAATCAAACCAGGCTGCACACGAATCCACCTAACAGACAGGTGCTTCCGCTAATTGCAGATTAGTTTACTTAATAAAACATCTGCAGCAGAAAATATCAGAAAAAGACACTTTGCTATTCCCTTTTTCTTCCAGCCAAGGAGATTTTGGTGGTTGAACTAACAGTACATCTCTGAAAGAATTACTATTAAACAAGCAGTGCTTCGCCTGGAATTGACGAGAAGATAGATCAAGCAAAAGAAAAAAGGTTATAAAAAGGTTTCAAAGAACAACGCTTGACCTTTCTAGTACTAAGGACACACTTCAACAAAAACAATGACTTTAGTAGCACTGCACACATATCGATTATGAGAGGGAGAAATATAACCTGATTGTAATTTGTAAACCATGTCCAGAACAGCTCCAAAAGTTGAAATTGGATAGTGACAAAAAAAACCAATCAATGCACTCATGCAGTAAGAACTTTCTAATTATGAACAAACTTGGGAAGGTAAGATTATCATGAGATCAATACTTCAGGACATTCACTTGGCCTAAAGCAATGCTTGGATAAATAATATAAATTGCTTTCAAGTTCCTACACTGCCGCCACCTGCAACACCACAGACGCAGGTGCAGAAATGGTAAAATTAAAAGGGAAAAGCGAAGGCAATGGGTTAAACTATATCCAAGGTATAGCGGTTCGATTCATATAACTGAATTATCTAAATTTTTAAAACCTTGTAGTTCTAGCATGGCAAAGAAATGCCCTCGGTATGATCATTTAAAATGCTTCAAAGATTAAAGCAAGCACCCGACGGATAAGTCCTAAAAGCGATGACTACTTCAAGACAATAGAAGCATCTTCAGAATTTGTGCATGATAGGTTTTTGACCCTTACAAGAAAAGAAGTCAGCAAAAGAACGGAGAGGAAATGAAGTTTTTCGAGGCTAGTACCAAACACTACGAGCTGAGTTATTAAGTAAGAAAATGATCCCATTCTACACCTGCGGTATTATACTGAGAACTTTGCAAAGAAGGAGAAAAAATAAAATTCTGAGATAATAGGATGCTGAAGGAAATTGGGTAGAGGATGAAAGGAAGATTTTTTTAATGTTTCAGGAATGTTATGAAGCCTTGCTTACTGCTTCAGGAGTAAAGCATTGGAGAGAGGTTGTAGAGACCATACCCATGGTGGAGGGTGGCAATTTGCTTGAAGCTTTTGATGATGCTTTGCTAGCTAAATTTGCTTGGAGATAGCTACAAAATCCTCAGGCATACAAGGCTCAATTGTTGAAGGGTATTTACTACCATCAACGTAGTTTCCTGAAAGCTAAAATGGGAGGTAGAGATTCTTGGGTTTCTAGTAGCATATTGATTGGGAGGGAAGTGGTTGAAAAAAGCATGTTGTGGCCGGTGGGGAATGGAAGGGATATACATGTTTGGAATGACATGTGGTTTCTAGCCCACGGTAGCAACTTTGTGAAGCTCAATTGCGGGGCAGATGTCAATGAAAATATGAAAAGTTCCCGAGTTAATTGATCCTGATTTGCAATGGTGGGATTTGACTTTAGCGAGTAGCTTGGTGGAGGATGAAGACAAGGAGATGATAATGAGAGTTCCCTCAAGAAGATTTTTTTCTATGAAGATACGAGTTGTGTGGCCTTTTGAGAAGAGTGGTGCTTTTTCTGTAGGATCTGCTTACCATTTGGTACATGATATGCAGAGTAGTAGTTGGAACGTGAAACATTCCTCGTCATATTCAATTGGAAGGGAAGTCTGGACTGGTGTTCTTCCTCATCTAAAAAATCTTTAAAGGAGGGGAGGTGATGGAGACCCCTACATGTCATTTCTGATGGATGGAAGAGACAGAAGAACACTTCTTGTTGCAGTGTCAACAGACAATATGTGTGTGGTTTGGAATAATGTGTTTGTATATCGACAGGCAAAACATGACTTCTTTTGATAGATGGCTAGTGCAGATCCTAAAGCAAGCTATTGGTCTTAGTAAAGAAGAAAACAGGACAATGTGTACAAAAGTAGCTTTTTAATGCTGGTATATGTGGAAAGATGGGGATGAAGAAGTCCATGAAAAGAAGGAACCAAGGCCTACTGAGATTGTTAGACGACTTACTTGTGCTTTCGAGGAATAAATTAAGCTAAGGTAGTCAATTACAGGAGGAAAGATTACACAGTCATCAGAGGGAGAAGAATATAAGAAGCCACAATCTGGAAGTGTTATAGTCAATTTGCGATGGTACTTTTCATGAAGTAAGGTAATATTGCTGCAACTAGGATTGTGGTCAAAGATGAAGTTGGGATACGCTAATTGATGGAGTTGGTCACGACACTGAGGCTGAATCTTATGCTGTTGAGGAAGCAGTTTGCAGGGTGTTGAGTTGGAATCTGATTCTAAGTCGCGGTCGAAGCAGCTTTAATGAATGTCAAACATCATACTCGGCAAATCGAACCGGTCGTACCCGACGAAGTCCCTAAATATTGTTAAGTTGTTTCACAAAAAATGGGATGTCGACCCAAGTGATGACGAATCTTTCACCAAAAAGTCGATCGTGGGTCTTTTACGAAATGGGTTTGGTGGATTCAATTGGCGGAACTAGAAAAAAGAACAATAAATTTAAACGTAAAAGGCTACAAATGATGAAAACCGAAAAGATATTAACATCAATGAATTGATCAAATTACATCGAGAACACGCGTTCCTGATAATAGATCCCTAAATAATTACACGCCGCCATAACTCCTAATTTCAACCGCCCCTTAGCAACTATCATGCCAAGTACGGTTGCAACCACACTTCCAAGGTTCCGGGCTTCCCATCCGCACAACGATTTTATCCACAGACGGTTACAACCCTCGAGGCCACCACATCACTAAACCGTCGCTCGATATCCTTTAATCTTGGATCGACATCTTCGGTTCGATCTCCTTTCTCCTTCCTCCCCATGCCCAATACTTAGCCAAATTTTAATAACCGGCTATATTGGGATTGGGGCATCCAAACCCACCCAGCCACCATTCACTTTTGCTAAAGTTCTTGTAGCCAAAATGATGCAGGACCTCTTTTCCCTCCACAGATTAAAGATGTACGATGTACTACCGGTGTGTTTTTCCTGTCATCAATTATGGAATTTGATTCTCCGATGGCCCCCCAAAAAAACCAAAAGATTAAAAAAATAAAATAAAAAGGGGGACAACCTTAGCGTCTTCGCCACGCGAGTACCAGAATATAAAAAAAACCAAAAAAGAAATGCGCGACCCCATTGACTTCCCCCGGTCAATGATTCTCCCCTTTTCTTTTCCACACCGTCGGCGCATCCCGTGGCCTCTCCCGTACCCGATCAAATCTGGGCCGTACAAATTTCTTTTTCCAATCCTCCTCCTCCCCCTCCTCCTGCGCGTCTCTTCGCAAGAAAAACCCACCGAGGGAAGCTGCCGCTGCTGCTGCTGCTGCTGCTGCTGAGGAGAAAACAGAGCGCGACAAGGAAGGCAAGTGACAGAGCACAGAGAAGAAGAAGGAGGAGGAGGAGGAAGGAGGAGACGAAGGAGAAGAAGAGGGAGGAGGAGAAGATGTCTGGCATTGCTCGAGGCCGTCTGACGGAGGAGCGGAAGGCGTGGCGCAAGAACCACCCCCATGTCCGTACGCCTTTTCGGGGTTTCCCCCCTCCCGTTTCCGGGCCCCCTTCGATTCTCGTCTTGAAATTGGTGTTTTTGCTCGATGATTTAGGTTTTTGTGTGGATTTTAATCGATGGGTTTTTGTGGGTTTTGTTTGTGTTCTAGGGTTTCGTCGCGAAGCCGGAGACTTTGCCCGATGGCACGGTCAATCTGATGGCGTGGCATTGCGTGATCCCTGGTAAAGCCGGGGTAAGTGCCGCTTCTCGCCTTTCGATTCTCGGATTGAAGTGAAAGGGGGGTGCTGATTCGGGTCGATTCGGTTTCGTTTGATTGTTTTGGCGGATGGGATGGAGGTGATCGTGTGAGGTTTGCTCTGATGTGAATTGGATTAGCGCGAGTGGTTGTTCCGCGATCTCTTTCTCGGGCTCCGGTTTTGCGGTGTTTGGTAGAGATCGTCTGCTGTGATATCTCGTGTTGTGTAAGAGTGTGTGTGGGGGGGGGGGGGGGTTTTGTCAATGGAATTTGGAGTCTGGAGGCGTTTGCTTGTGATTGGGCTTTCTTGTTGTCAGTTTGAATGGACCTGTAGCCTTAGGATGCGATATGTGGAGCGCTGCTGTTTGATAGGATGCAGTTGGATACCTGATTTTTTTTTTGGGGGTAAGGCACTGCTTCTCATTAGAGAGTAGCACCTGTGGGGGATGATCAGATGGAAAATGACACGTTTGAGGAGGTTCACACTTCACAGAAAGGGGGGAAAGGGAGAAATATCTGTGTTGCCATCTTGATGCAGAATCCAGAGTGAGCACGACTGTGAATTGGTCGATCTGCCTCTTAAGTTCTGCCAATTTTTGTTTTCCATAGTGCGAATATTGTCGAGTTGGATTTTTCATTGAAATGTCACCCGTTTTTCCCAAACACCTGTTTAAGTGAGCTTTTATTTCTATGAATCCACTGTGACTTAGCTAGGAAGAGACATTTAGCTTGTAACCAAAGCTTTAAACATTAAAATATTTTATTTTGTAGGTTATGTGGATTAATTTAATGATATTCTAAACCTGTGGCAGTGAGTTAGATGTTTGTTATGTTCTTAAAGATTGTATGAAATTCCACCTGTTCAATTGCCATTATTTTTCCATTCCACAAACATGCAAAAAATTCTCATGTACTCTACCAATCTCGAACTGTCGCTAAAAACGTGGTTTTCAAGACATGATAAATTCATTCCTCATTCAATCAACAGCAGATCATTGTAATAATCAGAAACATGCATAAGTAACTTCTTTTAAAAACTGTTTTGGTGAAATTATTCCTGACTTTCCGGTGTTTGGATGACGGAAAACTAATTGATCTACGATAAACATTTTCCATGGATCGAAATCAACAAGCTTAGATTTGGGGGAAAACAATTTCCCCTTCTGGCAAGAAGGAAATCACGGGGGAAATCAACTTCTCCTTCTGGCAAGAAGGAAATCACTTTCTATGAGTCACCAAAAGAATGAAAATTAACTATTTCTTTCAAAATGATTTCCATGGAAAATATTTTCCTTTATCATAAAGTTTTTAGTGAAACAAGCACACTCTAAGAAAAGTTTTAGCATATTTCAAATTGCATTTCTTCCTTACACATCTAGATTGCTACAAATCTGCAAAGCTAATGCACTCTCAATAGCAGAAAACACAATTAAGCAGTAAAAGATTCAACCATGAGTGACATGACTGAAAGCATGGGATCGGATAGTATACTCATTCTTTTATGTATCTTTGTTCTTAAAGAACACTATGCTATTTGATAGTATGGGGTGTCTAGGGGCATCCCCTTGATCACTAACCTCTTCTATAAGAATTTTTTAGGCTCTACAAAGAACCCCCTTTGCTTAAGCTATCAAATTAAGTTGTCAGTTAAATAAGTAATTACCTGCTCTTTGTTGTAACTTATTTGCAGATGTAGCTTAGGTTGCTAATATAGTTCATATGCTTATGGATTTTGTCAGGTCACTTTTGACATTGTTTTATACTGGGGAAATATTTCTCTGCGTGGTAAAGGAGAATTGTTAGCTCTATTCATTGTGGTTTATAGTAGATATTATATTGTAAAAGTAACGTGACAGACAGTGAGAAGTTATTTCTGGTACTTATATCTTGTAGCTGATATGAAGAATTTCTATCTGTTGTTTGCAGACTGATTGGGAGGGCGGTTTCTACCCGCTTACACTTCATTTTAGTGAAGACTACCCAAGCAAACCTCCAAAGTGTAAATTTCCTCAAGGGTTCTTCCACCCGAATGTGTACCCTTCTGGAACTGTCTGCTTATCAATCCTCAATGAAGACAGCGTGAGTCATTTTGCTTCTTTTGATCAAAACGTAGTTCATGTAAATGTCCATATACCATGTCACAACTTTCCATTTAGTTTCATATAATAATTTAACTTATGTGCAGGGTTGGAGACCGGCCATCACAGTGAAACAAATTCTTGTTGGCATTCAGGACTTACTGGACCAGCCAAATCCTGCAGATCCTGCACAGACTGAAGGGTATCACCTCTTCATCCAGGTATTCTCCTATAATTCTTTTTATTTCAACCAATCTGTAAATAACTGCCAGATCCTTGAAGAGCCTCAACAGTTGGTCACGCCACCCTTCTATGCCGGCAAAACCTTCGTCTGAACCACCTCAGATACTACATAGTACGAGAAAATTTATTTGAAGCGGCCATATATGCTTTTATAAGAGGATAGAAAAGTCCTTTAGTGTGGGTCCCTTCTTCCTGATAAAGCATAATGCAAGAAATACATAGGAATATGCTTTCGTTCTACATATGACTGATGATGCGCTTAGGATATCTGTTACTCTTACTGCTGTATTTACTTGTTCCTTCTGAGGAAAAATGATCTTAAGGAGTTGACTTCTAGTTATGCCAGTGCAACTTTTGTCAACATAGTATTTGATCTCTTGCAGGATGCCACCGAGTACAAGAAGAGAGTTCGAAATCAGGCCAAGCAATATCCGTCACTTATCTGACATTGGCCTGCTATCTGGTGATTGGTGGTTCTTCATCTCTGTCAATTTCTCGCCCATGTTTGTCTGCTTTTTACTCCAGACTGACTGTACTTGGTAATTGTTGGTTACCGTTATATCTAGACTGGTACTTCGGAACCATTCTATCATCTTTTTACATAGTTCTGGGGCTTCAACTGTTATAGATGACTGCTATAAACAAACTGTTCATTCTGTTCACATCGGTGAAAGGTGGCTTTATTGTCTTTGGATCAAATGTTGGAAGATCTTCCTTGTCTAGCTTAGTGGATCTCATTATGGATGAGAATCAATGAGCTTCAAGGAGAAACTTTATTTCTATGATAGATGCAAGAACGATTTATGACAAATATGTTATTGCCTTCGCTAGACAAGTTATGCCTTTTTCCCATGTGGTTGACTAATTTATATTTTGCATGGCTTTGCACCATGTGGGAGAAAGATAGCAAAGTTGGTTACTTTTGCTGAGGAATTATCAGCAAACTCGGAGAGAGATTTCACCGACCTGCTGTCTCAAAGGCTTAGGTACTCGGTCTTCATTTCTAAGCAAGAAGACTGTAAATCGAGATTTGACTTGCGTTGGCACTCGATGTAAGACTGTGCTACAAGGGAGTTCTTTATATCGTTTGTTTATCAATTTTGTCGATAGAATTCCATGTGTTGCACATCATATACAGCCAGCTCCTCCTGCGAAAAGATGGAATTTTTCTCTACTTAGAGTACATTAACCCGCTCTTACATTAATGCTCATGTAGATCCAATGCCCACAATTGATCTGACTTTCTAGTCATATAGAGAACCGTACTTCTCAAATTTTTGAATCCCTCGAAAATCCCCAATCGTGACAGATCTCCAAAGAGAAAGTCCCTTTTGATGCTATTCCTTTTCAAATTGCTTTCATAGGATCATGAGAAGTCAGTATTTGTGAGTGTAAGGATGGGCGACCGTCACTCTCTAGTCTTTTAGATCCATAGACACGGTGGGTTTGCAGTGTGCATGACCTGAGGAGGGAAATCACGAATAGTGTAGAGAAAACTCGAACATGACAAGACATGAAAGATGCATTTAATCTCTTGTATTGTCACAAGAGACACGAATCTACACGCTTTTTGTCATGATTCAATTATCTGTCACATAAAATAAAATTTTTGCCTTTTCATACCAACACCAGTTTGATGCATCGTTCGTGGTCAAGCGTCGTACCCGTGCACTGTGCCCCGGCATCGTTCATGGCTGTGCGTCGTGCCTGAGCATCATGGCCGAGTGCATGGGACGTGGCCGATGATCGGGCATCGTTTATGGTTAAGACTAGGATGGTATATAATCGTCTTCGAGCCTTTAATTTTCGTTCTTGATTAATGAAAACATTATTGGCAAATGCTTTTGCAGTTGTTTTTTTTTTTTTTTTTTTTTTGATGACCCAGGGAACCCCGCACGGTCGCCATGGGAGGAAACCCCGGGGCGCACGTTACCACCACACACGTGCACCGGTTAAGTCACCTCCCCCGATTCGAACACTCAACCTTTCGAGGGGAAGGGGGATCCGCACACCAACCACCCCAACCCCGGGGGGGATGTTTTTTTTTTTTTTTTTTTTTTTTATAAATCCAAGAATTTCACTTCTGACTATGAAAAACAAATGCCCCCGACATACAAAACAATTATGACACATCAATTGTGCATTCTCAATTGTGCACTCTGCGGTCCTTTCTTGTAAAATATCCTGGTGAACTAATAATTAGATTAATAAGTTTGATTAGGTGGATAATTAAATTATCTAACGTTGTTTTCTTTACCACTGTGCCGTGTCCTTTTTAAAAAAGCAAACATTGAGGGCATTGATAAGCTTTGCCTTCATTGGAGAATGGTTGGGCACAAGAAGGATTCTTGCCCTGAGATGGTGGCTGATACGAAGTCACCGTTTGAGGTGTTTGATCTAGATAAAGTTAAACAAGGACTTTGGCGGTGAAGCACGGATGAGAAACAAAAGAAGCAGTTTCTTGATTCGGAAAACGTCGCGGGAAGTAAAGAGGGAAGGAGGGTCTCGGCCTTGCAAGGGCCGAACCCGCAAAGAAGCTCTTCTTGCCAAGTTTAGGTGGCAGGTCTGCAAAGAAAGGTAGAATCCGCCACAAGTACTACAGTGATGGATCTTTCTCTGAGAGCTTATAAAACTGACTTTGGAGATAGAATTTCTCAGACAAGCATTAGACACCTTTCTTCAGAACAGTGACAATGTGCTGTTTTGGAAACATGACTGGACTGGTTTGGGATCGTTGCAAGATATATGATCTTCCAAATCTCCCCTTTGTTCTCCTGGAAGGGGTTCCCAACAGCATCAATTTAACGCCGAACTCTATAACGGGAGACATAGCCAACCCCTTTTGTTGTAATGATACAGCGAATGGAGATTTGAATCAGCAGATGAAATTGCATGCGAAGATAGTCTAGACAAGTCTTCTAGGGTGATATGATCGTGGATCTGGAAAATGGAGACGCCACCGAAAACGTAACATAGTATCTGGAAATGTCTCAAAGAGGGTATTGCTCTGTTATAGAGGACTTTAATATCAGACACCACTTGCAACATTGTCAGCAAGGACAAGAATCTATTGAGCATGTATTAAGGGACTGTCCTAAAGCAAGAAGTTTCTGGGATGAAATCCGAATCCCCTCTTTGCTTCGAGCATCTTTCAACGAGCATCTACATGAGTGGATCAAGAAAACTATTCTTCCTTGAAAATCTGGTATTATCATCCACATGTCCATCGAAGAGTACATTTCCCATTGGGCTGTGTATTCTGGTTCAGATAGATCTTCAGATGCTTACCTTAAAATGCAATATAGAGAACCTCGAGATCGGAACAGATACTTCAACAAATCTTATCAAATGTTGGCGTGACGTTTCTCTTGCTAATCCTCTGATCTGGAGCATTTTGATGGGGTGCAGGACACTGGCAGAGAGCTTCAACGGATACCAAATCAGGCATGTGCTTGGTGAAGCTAAGTTATGCGCGGATAGGCCGGCCGGCAAAGATAGCGAAGAAACAGCCGGCGCCGCGTTCTGTCTACGATAATACTCCTTACCGGGTCCAGATGTTGTAGATCATGATGTTTGTGATATGAAACATCGTTAGCTCGAGCAATGGTAGAAAGGCGATTGGACGGGTTGCATCTTGATGCTACTTCCCTTGTTTTATGATGTAATGCCAATCACTTTGTACGGAAAAATTAGGGAGATAAAAATCCACTTTCAATCTAAATAAATCAATATTGCCGGCATGTTTGTTTACCAAAAGCAAAAGGTCATGTCGAAATTTAAAATATTATCTAAATTTTAAAAATTAGAAAAAAAAAAGTTATATTTACATTTACTAGTCAATATTTATATATTACGAAAGCTTTGGAGTATTTCGAAATAGAAAAAAGTCAAAGTGCATAAGTTATGAAATGGAAAACCAACACTAATAGTCCATAAACTTGGTCCAATGTGTAATGCCATCATTTTATATAATGTGATCCATGATTTATCGCTAAATATTTAATAAAATCTCTGGATTATATGAAGAAGTTCGATATCATCCCTTCATTAATTTAAATGAATGAAATCCACTAACGTGACTTTCGATTTATTAAGTTTGAACGATAGACAAAAAAAAGGTAATATAAATTTTTTATATAAGATATTTATCCTAAGGCATGTTAAAACTTTTCACGTGTGATATTATCACAAATGAACTCATATTTGGGCACTCCAACATAGATCGATAAAAAAAAAAAAAACTAGAGACAGATCTCTTTTCTTCCTTCTCTCAATTTTTACAATGCTCCCAACTCACATGTGATATTATCTAGGTTTATTTATTAGGGATAAGCAAGAAAGATTGACCGAATTGAGGACCGCCCAATTGGATCAAATTTTCGGGGTGCCGATCCTATTCTTAGTTCCTAAAAGTGGAATCGATATCCGAGCGATCCACTTTCAATTCCAAGGAGGGGACTGGACCGAATCGGACCGCCCGAACCGATTAATTTTTATTTTTTTAAATATAAATATAATAATAAAAAATTCCTCTTTTTATTTTGGGAAATTTTTAATTTGGGGCCCAAAGTGAGCCTATTTTCTCAAAATGGGGTCCCAAGTGCAATCGGTCTCAAATCTGGGGTCTCAAGTGCCCAATCGTCTCAATTTGATTCGAGTTCGCCGACCGGCCAAATAGTCACCGGCGGCATGAGTTTTTCTACTGTTCCGGTGGTCTGAACAAGAATTTTATTTTTTAATTTTTTTTTTTTTTTTTTTCTTTCTCTTCTTCGCCGCCCCGCTTATTTTTTGTCTATAAAATGCACAGCAAATGCAATCCCATGTGTGTAATTGGTCTTTCCATCACCCCGTTCCTCTCTCCATCGCCTTTGGTGTTTCCCATTCCCTCTCTATCCCCGTCTTACACTCTCGACCCTTGTTGGTCCCATTGGCGCCAGCTTCTCTTCCGACCTCCTCCTCTCCTCTCCGGGGCTTCCCTCCTTCTTCACCTCCGCCCAAATTTCGCCGCCTCACGTACCTCTCCACGGGCCGCCGAGCCGGGCTCGGGATCTCGGTTCTCAAAGCGTGCTCTAGCTCATGTCGATCGTGGCGTCGACGTGGTGCCTCGCCGATCTAGCGAGCATGGTCGCCCGCGGCGTGGGCGCCGGCGAGGGCAACCTCGCTCGGGGTGAGGGCTCGGCCTCACCTCGTGACGCCGCGAGGGCTCGTCGATGAAGGCCGTTGGGCGGCCCTCGCGCCGGCCCCGACGCTCGGTGAGGGCAAACATCCGTGGCCATAGCCTGGGCCTATGCGGAGGGAAGAGAAAAAGAAAAAGCAAAAAAAAAAAAAAAATTAAAAAGTAAAATACATACTCGCCGCCGTGACTCATTCTACTACTGTGGCAATCCAGTCTCAGTACTAAATCGAGATCGACGACACTTAGACACCCGTTTCGAGGCATCGATTAACGACATATTTGAGGCCCATTTTCGAGTAAAATGGGCTGGCACTTTAGGCCCCTAAATCGAAATTTTCCCTTTTATTTTTTATCTATAAAATGCACAGCAAATGCAACCCCATGCGTGTAATTGATCTTTCCATCACCTTTGGTGTTTCCCATTCCCTCTCTATACCGTCTCTCACTCTCGACCCTTGTTGGTCCCATTGGCGCCACCGATTCTTGCGACGACTCTTCCACTGACAAGAAATGAGGTGACTGATTCTACGGTCCTTGCCTTTTCCTTTTCCTTCCTTGATCCTAGTTGTTAGTTGTTAGTACTTGATCTTCCCAGTTTCAATAATACTCGACCAGTTTCACTAGATTACCCGAGAACCAGATTGGACCAGTCCGATTCCCGATTTCTGGGTGGGACCAAACCGAACCGGAAACGATGACTCGTATTATTTACAGCCGTTACAGTAAGGGCCCACGATAACAAGCCAAAGCTTGTTTAGAGGTAGACATTAATTTTATTTCCCAACAATTTGGAGAAATTTTCATTCTAAGGACACCAATTGTTGTGGCGAAACATCCATATGGAAATTTTTCATTGTCATAAAAAAAAAAACACACGACTTTTCATTGCAAAATGCAGAGCTTATTAATTTCAATCTTCTTCTGTGAAAATTTTGATTACAACGATGATTAGAACTAATCAAACGGTTAGTCCCTCCCCCCTAATCTTTTGCACTAAGCGAGCGCGCACGCCCAAAATCCCAATGATCGCTAGAAGAGCAGCGGCCTCCTGCTAAAGCCGAAGGCCTCCTCCGCCGCCGTCGCCGCTGGTTGTCTCCGATGGACGACATGGCGGCCTACTATCCTCCGCCGCCGGGGACCCTCCCCGCCTACGCTTACTACCAAGCGCCCCCTCCCCCGCAGCCTCCGGCGGCGGCGGCGGCGCCGCCTCAGCCCTACCTCCCGCACCTCCATCACCAGCCTCCTTTCCCCTCCTACGGGGCCCCCGCCGTCGTCGTCCCGCACGGCGCGTACGACGAGGTCCGGACGCTGTTCGTCGCCGGCCTGCCCGAGGACGTGAAGGCCCGCGAGATCTACAACCTCTTCCGCGAGTTCCCCGGCTACGAGTCCTCGCATTTGAGGAGCCCTAGCAAGAATTCTCAGGTGCGGTAGCTTCTGCTGGCGTGCTGTTGTTGTGTGATTGAGTTTGATTTCTTCTGCGAGTATGAATTGAAGCGAATGAACGGTGAGTGACTTTATGCTTGCCGTAGCAGATTGGATGATTGGAATTAATGCGTGCTCTTTATTTTCTGTGTGGAATTTTGTGGGCGATTAAAAACAATGACTATGAGATGTTTAAGCTGTAATTATCCCACTGTCTCTGTTGTGAAGGGCGAAAAGGTTGGAACTTTGATGAGGAGTATCTGTCTGTACTCATTCTGAGCTTATTCTATTGTTTCCATGGAGCTTATTCGATGAAATTCGAATGGATTTTGATAAATTGATCCTGAATCCAATTAAAGACTTAAGTAGCCGTACGATCAGAGTAGATACTGTATGGCATGTGCTGTATGTGGATGAAATGGGACTTGATAGGATATCTTTGGATTGGGCAATTGAGTGCTTTTGTCTGTTCAAGTCGAGGTATACAGTCTTCTCACTCAGGTCAGGATGGGAGTAGACTCTACTGATGGGGAGGAGAGTGTTTAGTGGGATATCGAGATTTCCTCAGCTAGATACTGATTCCCTTTGGTGAACTGGAATCTATCAGTGCCTTACTAGAACCTGAGGGGATTATGTTTAAACAGTCAGTAGTATTTTATACAAAGAATTTTGTTTTCTCTATCTAGTTAAGGGGGTTTTGGAATTGTAAGTTTGAGAATTTAGATCAAGCTTAATGATTACAGCTATGTAGCGGAAAGAAGCAGCCTTTGAAAAAGATGTTTTTTCCGAAGCTTCAACTTCTGTTGAGGTGGTCGTAGACTATGCTTGCCGTTTTCCTGGGAACTACGTCCTTATGGTTAAAGGCAATCTGGTGAATGAACCTTGGTGGACACTACAAAAAACAGTTTCTCAAGTCTTGCATGTGACGATTAAATTTCAAACTTCCTTGGAAATGGATTGAAAATAGGTCTCTTATGGTTAAAGGCAATCTGGTGAATGAACCTTGGTGGACACTACAAAAAACAGTTTCTCAAGTCTTGCATGTGACGATTAAATTTCAAACTTCCTTGGAAATGGATTGAAAATCTAATGCTGTTGCTGCGGCCACTTTCTGTGTTTAAGCAGCTTCCTTCTCACTTGCTCAAAATAATGACAAAAGGCAACTCAAGAATATCATAGCATTTACAGCTGTTAAATCTTCAAGAATCCATAACATTTCTGTGATCCATTGACTCTGATGCTTGAGGTCTCCATGATGCTATCACCTTCCTTTGAGAGTATTTTGTTAGTTATGCATAAACAGTGAAAAATCTATTTAAATGTTGGAACTGGTTTGGGCTGGCTCGAAAATCTTTTTACGCATAAGCATCGGTTTGGCCCTACTGCCTAGAAATGTGTTGAAGAAAAACTTGTGGAAGATGAAATGATTTTAGTGATAGGATCGGCCTTAGGTTTTGGTCCATCCTGGTCAATGACTCTCTTTGGTTGGCTGTGATGTAATATTTTTTTCATTTCTTATTTAGTTGGGTCGTATGCTAGTCTCCTACATCTCTCCCCGAAGGCTGTTATGGTTTTATTTCCGCAATATAATATCTTATTGAGGAAGAATTGCAGCTTTTCATAAACAATGAGACTGCATAATAGCAAGCTGACGAGCTTCTCTTTGATGGAAGGATAACCAATTTGAGATCTTTGTTCTTCATTAGATATATATGTATGATTGAGCATGTGGTTATACGCATCTGCTTGTGTGTTGAGTGTATGCATGAGCGCATTGTGGTTGTGTTTATGTGTACTTATTGAAATAAAAATAGTAAATTCTTATGTGAAGTGCTCTATCCTGATATGGTATCCTTGTAATGCCAGCCATTTGCTTTTGCTGTATTCACAGATCAGCAATCTGCAGTTGCAGCAATGCATGCACTGAATGTAAGAATTCTTGCCTTCCCTGTTGTGCTTTGTCTTCTACTTTATGGTTGGTTTTTTCTGCCAAATTACTTGATACTTACTCTTTATTATCTATTAAGTACTGTGTAGGTAGTGAGAATCTATATCCCTGTAATGACTCTCACTTTCTGAGAACTGACCTGGTATTTAATGCCATTTATGGCGCATAACTTGAATTTTTCATGTGTTACCTATTCAAAGTGAAAATTTCAAAAATTTTCAGTCTTTAACATAATAAAGGAAGTGGAAATTTATTTGGTATGACATTTTAATGTTTGCTTGAATGGTAGCTTCCAATCCATTGGTGGAATAAAAGGACATTTCTTAGTGTCTTGGCAAACAAGGTCCATGCATTCAATGCAGAATAGTTATATGCTTTTCCACAGTTTGTGGCCCTCAGTGTTGTGGCCTGACTCATTGGAATGACTTTTCAGGAACTCGTCTAGTGTAGTGACCATTTTTTTGTCAGGCATGCCCTTTTGTGAATAACTGTGTTGGATTATTGGATTTAATTATAATGTTTGTTTCTGAACAGTGAGAGAATTTCTAATGCCTATTGATATCATCTCAAGAGCCATCCTGACAATGCTTTCTCCTTAAAATAGATCTACTATTGCCCAAAGTAGCTGATGTTGAGTGGCCTCCTTAGCATACCTTACTGTGACTTATATTGATTCTTTGACTTACAATAGCCACCAATTTCCTTCTACTATAAATTGGAGCTTTTGAGCCAATTTATGATGTTTGTTCCTTGAACCTTTCAACATGATGCTATGCGTGCACATCATTTTTTTTTCAAAGGAAAAGCACAATTGATGTAAATGAAGTAGATAGCATTGCTTCTTTCTATTGTTTGATCTGCTATTGCTTATGAACTTTAATCTTTTAACTTTTTTTATTAAAAATTTTAGGGCTTTTGCACAAGCATAATTTTGTAATATTCAGGAATGAAAACTTGTCTTCCGTGTTATGAATTCATCTTCGAACTTATCATGTATTTGTATCAAATTCTAGTTTATGTTGTTATAATGAAGTTGGTAATCCGTACCTTGTTTTATCCTGTCATTGTTACGTCATGATTAAAGGAATATAAGAAATTATAATTTTTCTTGCAATTGAAAGATATGGTCAAAGAGAATTACATATCTGAGAATTGGATTATTGCAAACAGAATTATGAAACATTCTATGGTGAATGTTTATCAAGTGGGAATGCTTGGCTGCTGCTTATTGGAAGTTATGACATGGTCCTCTGATTGCTTTTATCAACCTTATATGCAGGGGATGGTGTTTGATCTTGAGAAGGGATCAACACTATACATTGATCTTGCAAAATCCAACTCCAGGTCTAAACGTTCAAGAGGTACAATAATGATTGGTTTAAACTTGTGTAAACTTTACTGTCGATGGTCAGTATGCTTGATTTAATATTTTTTTTATGGCCTGTTGATTTTGAAAATCAGATGAAGACAGACATGGATCAGACAAGAGAGCTAGATTATCATCCCCATATTCCTTCGGCGCTTTGGATTCTGGTAAGAAGACTATGGATTCACCTGTTAATGGAGGCAGAAAGCTGCAGTTGCACTCTTAAATCCTTTATTCTGGATGTTATCATCATTGATTTGCTTAATCTAATGTTATGTTATTTTGGTACAATTTATCATGGTCACTTCAAAGGCACATGTTCCTGAAAGAGCTCACATTGCACATGTTTTGCACTCTTGGACACTAGCAGGTGTTGGCAGCACTCACATGCCTGGAATGGGTAATTCTGCTTACAGCACGATTGGTTATCCATCTACACAAAGGTCATTGGCACTACTTGAGCACATTCTTATTACTTGAAATCGTATACTTCAGCAATCACTAGATGAGATTATTGCCTCTAGTGGAAAAGTTGAGGGCTTCGTAGAAGCCATTACTGCATGCCCTGTTCCCTGCAAGTTGGAGCACAATCTTTTCCTTTTTCTTTTGCTTATGCGTGTTTGTTTCCTTGTCATCTTGTCGTGTAAATTTTTAATTTGTAAATGTCCAGTCATGGAAGTTCTGATGGCCGAGGCATAAAGGGGACAACAGCTGCAAAAATGGTAAGGTTACTCTGATATCTGCTCTAACATTTGAGTCAGAATTTATGTTCTTTCCCAAAGTAACATGGTTTTTTAGACACTTCTTGTAGCCTAAACTTATATTCAAAGGCTTCTTGAGCCACTTATATAAATTATAACTTAATAGAAATCTACTCTCTCTCTCCCTCTCTCTCTCTTTGTGTGTATATGTGCGCTCGCGTGTGCGTGCATGCATGCGTGACTGCATTCTTTCAAATCCTTGTGATAATAACAGTCATCATGAAGATAATATTCCTATATATTTAGGATGAAGTTGACATTTCACCAAACAATCTAGTGTTTGACAAAAACACAATAACGTTCAAGGAGTTGCTGGAATTGTGAGACATCTTGTCCAGTTCTTTGCTTGCATGCAAGTAGAATGAGCAGTCATCCACTTGCACTTCACTAAACAGATAGAGACTAAGCAGCCATATACTTATTGGTTTCAAGTGTGGTTAATGATTACTTAAGTAAGGTGATCTTTGTTAAGACAGATGTTCTACTTAACTTCTATATTGTATAGAACTCGAATGCCTTGTGGGTTTTACCCAAGTGAGTTTATTATCGCATCGCAATTTCCCCTTTGCACATAAACCATTGAGGAGCTCACTGCCTTGACAATCTTTCCACTTACAGTTATGTTGCGCATTCTAGACTGGGTAACCTGCCTTATTATTGACTTACAGCCTTTTTGTGGATCATTCTAGTCTGCGCTTAAGAAATGTTTTTTCTTTCTTTGGTTTTTTGATAAATCCTCTCTTTTTGTATGTTAACAGGGTAATTCTTCTGCACCCCCATGCCCAACAATTTTTGTGGCTAATCTGGGGCCAAGATGTACAGAGCAGGAGCTTATTCAAGTCTTTTCACAGTTAAGAGATATTAATATGATCTATACATGCAATATGTTGGTTTTTCTGAAGACAGTTGTAATTCCCTTTTGGTATTCCTATTTCTACCAGATGCTCTGGTTTTTTGAAATTGAAGATGCAGAGTACTTATGGTGCTCCAGTTGCGTTTGTGGACTTTCAGGTACTACGTAACTCTATTGCTGCCAATGTGTTTTTCCTTGAAACGAACTTTTGGTATTACCTCTGCATACATAGAAAAGATGCATTGTTTGCATAATATCTATTTTTCCAAGTTATTGCCCCTTGGTACCTGCATGCTGTTTAACACTTGGGAGTTCCTATAACCGAAGTGTTTTTGTATGATAAATCAGTAACTTTTTCAGTATGATACCACCAAAGGATATCATACAAATGGGTTTGCCACCACCTCTATCGATTGTGTTAAAGCGCAGTTTGTTTGTGCAGGACACTGCTTGTTCAACTCAAGCTCTAAATCAACTTCAGGGCACGCTTCTCCTTTCTTCACCAGCTGGAGACGGCATTCGGTTGGAGTATCCTTCTAAATGCTGCTTCCATCCTACTCTTCCTGCACCTTTTATTTCTCTTTTTGCCCCTAGGTTGGTAAACCTCCTTAGTTTTCAGTAAGCTGGACTCTACTGCATGAAATGTTTCCTTAATAGGGAATTCAGGTTTGCGAAATCACGGATGGGAATGCGCAGGAAGGGGAAGTAGCAAAAGGCCTAGATTTCTTGGAGCTTCCGTCAAGTTGGTGGATGCACATCGATAAAAATCATTGTCGTCCGCCTAATAGTTTCTTCGCCATGCTCTTTCGGTTATGTTGTATTATGCTCATAATTATTTTAGCTTTTGACTGGCCTATAGTGCGACACAGTGCTCCCATGTCGGAAATGGCTAATCTAGGAATTCTGAGCTTAGGCTTCCTTTTCTTATGCATTAAAATTTATACAGGATATTGATTGCTTGGAGATCAGGGATATATTGAGTGCCTGTTTTGATCTTCTCTCCTCTTTACCAGGGAGAAACAAGTAGATACAAATCTTCTCGTAGTGAGAAGCTAGCCTTTGGATGATCCTTAAGTAGTTATTCGCAGCGAAAGTGCCCCTCCTTGTGGTTATATCTGTAAAGACATTACCTTCTTCTGTTGATTATTTAGGTTTCCAAAGTGCAACGCAAGATCTGTCGGGCATGTTATTTCGCTCTTGAGTATGCAAACTACAGCCTCATGTGCCTGTCCTGTTCTTGATGGTGTTACCGTATTGGTGCACATTTTGTTTTAGGAGCAACGAAGTATTATACTATACTCGCAAAACATTTTCCTATTAAACCAAAATATGTTCAGAAGAGGTGATCGATTGATCATAGTCGCAAAACTTGATTAAAATTGACGTTGTTCCTTTTCCAGTGTTAGACTTGAATAACTATGTACAAATTAGTATTGAAGAGATCATGTAATACCTCAAGTTAATATGCCATGTTTGCAGGCTACCCATGGATTGCGACATGCTTAAACCGATATTGAGATGAAAAACTATAGCATTGCATATCTTGGGAAGATAACGTAGTGAACCGTGGTTCAAACTGTAAAGCTTACCTAGGAACATGGTACATAAACATATCCAACGACAACGACCGGGGATCAAGATAATTGCCCCCATCAATAATGAATTTCACATGGATTCCACATGTTTAAATCTCATGTTGTGTGCACTTACGTAATATGCTAAGAACTACCTTTCCTTTGCCAAGACATCTTGAAAAAATGAAATAGTACTATTCTTCGCGAAAGCTATTTCAAATCTTGAAATTTACATTTAAAAATATATTAAGGACATGATTTGGTTACTTGTAAGCGGTGCTCTCCTCGATATCCTCAAGGAGAGGACAGCCAAGTGTCAATGAACGCAGTGGTGCTGTGTTGATGGAAAGTCAAACCGCACAGAAAAGTCCACATATCATAATCATCGCTAGCAAACAAAATCTACTTTGACTTACTCGACCAAATTAGTGCGCGGCGATACTTACTTGTGATTCGTGATCGCATCCTCCGGGGGATGCGTTCATGCATCTAACCCTTTTCTTCTGCTGATCTGATTTGAGAAACTCAGTAATTCTGTCTCACTTTTTCCACGTTCATTCATGAGTCGGTTTCAAGTCAAGATGTCGTTTCAAATGGTTTGGAATTGATCATCAGTCTTTGCCCCCATGTGCTGTCTTACCAGAGATGCCGCCATTCCCTGTGACTCTAGCATTGCGTGGGTTCATTTGCTCCACGGGTCTGTAGAGCTGTGAACCATGCCCAGCCTTATTTGACACCAGATTTCCATGTTTCGTGTCCACTCCGATGATGTCTGACTTAAGGAGTCACAAGCCGCCGAGATTCACGCTGCCATTCAGGCCCCCGCTAGTTTTAACTTATCGCGCATATGATGTGAGGGACGCGTGTTTTTAATTAATGATATGAATTCATCATGCTAGCTGTCACCTTTTTAAGCTGTCAAATTATACATGAAAAATATACATGCTACATGACTTTTAAAGCACCAGATTTTGCGCTCCAATATCACTCATATTGACCCAAGTTCTAAGTATATTAGCTTCGCGCAACAAGGCATTCAAAGGTTGAAATTAGGCTATTATTACTTAGGTTTCTTCACTTTGAGCGTCACAGCTTGAACACTTACCCACTGTTTTGTCAGACTTGCATTGGCATGAGTCTTAGATGTGGCATTTAGATATAAACCCATTATCTTCTTTAGTTTCTGGTTCAATAGTTAAGTTTATACTTAAGAGAAATGTCCCATCGAGAAAACGAAAAAGCGATGCACATCAGTACAAAACTTTCCTTCTGCTGACTGGCCTCTCCCTTTTCAAAGTCTCTGCTTAACAACCCCAGAAAAACTTCACTATTCTATCAACTGCATGACAAAAATCTGAATCCATCATCTCATATCCTTAGCCATAAATGAAATTTCCAGGTTGCTAGTCTAAGCTGCAACCAATGAAAATCAGCACACACTCATTCAAGTAATCTTATTTGCCCAACTAAACTCCTGTCCAACTTCCAACCACTCTATTTATTGTAGGCCACAACTCTAAAAAAAAATCCATGCCAAAGTTGACTATGAAGTCACATTCGAAGAAGTAAGTGACTGCTCGTCTCGTTCTTGTATGCAAATCATTCATAGAAGACTCGAATGAAGTATGAAGACATTTGCAAAGTCTTCAATTCAGAGTGGAAATTCTGTCTAGAATCACCAACCAGAAATTTAAACAAAACTTAGGAACATGGGGAGAGAAAATCAGATATAAGACCATTTGCAAAGACAAGTAACTTCTTCAGTCAAGCAATCGAGTCTCATCATTATTTCCGACGTCATATTAATGGGTTGCCGTTGTCATCATGCGCCTTTTCTTCCTTTTGTTTTTCACCTTCCTTGAGATGCAAGTGCCTCTTTCAACGAATGACGTACAGCAATATGAAAGGTCCCGACCCTTCCGGCACAAAACATTGCGAATCGCGTTAGTTGACGTTGCTCTTCTAAATCTTCTTGGTCGAGAGCAGCAACAGAAAGTTGAACCCCCATAGCACACAGCTGCACAGAAGAGTTTGACTTATTGGTTCTATGGTTTGTGAACAAACTCACCAGTACAAGAACTGTACAACACACTATCCTGTCTACATTTCTGTAGGAAACATGAGTTTCATTGATGTGTTATAAAACGAGTTTGCTTTAGCAAGAAGTCCGCGAACAGATTAACCAGCAAAGAAACGTGGAGGGAACTGATTTGACGTAGCAATTGTTTAGTAATCTCTCTCTCTCTCTCTCTCGCTGTTGGAGGAATTGATTAACAATTGTCACTGATTGCGGACAAAAGTTTGGCTGGAAACTCGAATCCTCGGAAATGCATTAAAAAAAGATTGTCAAAGTAACCAAACACGTCCACATGATTTGTGGAGGGAATCTTGGGGATGCATGATTGAGAAAACCTAGATTATATAAAAAAGCAGGTTTTCTGTCTTCATCTAATGCAATACTTATCTTTAAGTGTAGCTGCAATCCTACATCGGTTGTCATGCCGTTCTAGCTTTTGTTGTTATTCATATTTATTCTTTTTCTTGGGTTTGTTCATATTCTTGATGTTGCATGCTCTGTGAAGGTGGCTATCGATTTCATTTTATATTCTTGAAGTTGCTTTTTCGCGAAAAAAAAGGATTCAGACGAGGTTGAGACCTATCTCACTCACTGCTGGGAAGATCGCTTCAAGGCACCAACGAAGCACCAGCTGCCCACTTGGCAAGCCGTGTCGCCGTAGCCTCACCAAGTATGAGTGGGGAAGTCCAAAACCGGCAGTATACCTAAACCAAAACCTGTTATCCATGGAGTAATCAAAAGCCTAAAATCGGTGATAGACTGGGGAACCGGACCTATGACATTTGACTTGCAAACCACATCATAGATCATTAAACCAACCATGTGATTGGTAATATTCAGTTCATTTATTTTTTATTATTGCATTTCTACGTCTTCCTCCATTCTTGATCGGTGGATTACAAAAAGGGAACATCGTCCAAAAAATCCTAGACCTATTACATTTTGACCAATTCAGTCTTAAACATTTTAATTTTACCAATTAAGTCCTAAACATTTTCACGATTTGTCAATTGAGTCCATTCGGTCAATTTTAGTCGGAAATCGTTAACGTGGACGGCGGCTGTCCTACGTGACATAGCCGATGTTGATGAGAACAATTTGGAGATGAGAGGGATCGAACCCTTTTCCCAAGAGGAAACCTGTCATGCATGCTTTCTATGAGATTTTATGACTATATTTAGAGATACGATTTGGTACTTCACCCAAACTTGATTGGGTTAAATTTTCCAAATACGAGCTTAACTTGGTAAATGAGTTAATGAATTCAATTTTAGTTTATACTCAAGTTAAACTCATACATCCTCAAGCTCAATTTAGCACGAGCTAAATTGAGATTCACAGACTACACAAATTAAATATTTTAGAGCGCTTTAGTATTTTAAAGCTCAAAATCGATGCGACTCGATGCTCAAGGACAAAATCAAGCTCACTTTGAGAAGCCTAGCTATAAGCTGAGCTAGCATAGCTCAATATATGATTAGACTTTTACATTTTATTTTCGTTTTGTTCTTCTTCTTTTTGCATCTTGCAACACAAATTGATTTTACTGAATGCAAAATGTTTAATATGTTTGAAATTTGAAAATACACAGATATTAATACGTAAAATCATATGTAAATTTCACAATAATAAAATTTCATTATTATATTCACCTCAAATGTTTAATATGTTTGAAACTCTCCTTGTTTTATATTACTAAAATTGTGGTAGGTGTATGGAGGTTTAGGGGGAGCAGAGTGAGGAATTGGCTCCGGAAGATATATGTTGCATACGCTAGTCGACTCAATACAACGAGTTCCATCTTATGAACGGGGATGGCGCCCTCATTGAACAGTGCCCAGAAATATGTATGGTCTCTACTTCGTTGAAGAGGAACACCTTATAGCCTTCCGCTAGCTCTTTGTCCTCCTATGCCAATGAGTTGGAGATATAATTGGTAATGAAATGCTGCAATTACATTGAGTTGGCAAAGATAACGGCGATGTTTGGAAATGGTGGAAGAGGGACTCCACCTTTTTCCGATTCTTTGTGACTTATTGACCCCATCAGCGTCTATGGTACCATTAGAGTCCAAGCTCAAAAGTATCCCATAGTTCTTGAACGACAATAAGTGTCATTTGTTTGCGAAAAACTTAGAAATGGTTGTCGAAAAGTATCGTTGGTTTTTGCCAGAATTGACTTCGATCAAACATGTCCAACGTGAACAAGAGAACAATGACGACGACTCTCCATCATCCGAATCATGGTAAAGGACACGACGCTTAAGACACCAAATCTATTCAACATCGTAACTTTTGCGATAGTGCGTAATTTTTCTTTCAAATTGTTTGAAAACATACTTGTACTTCATTCATGTTTAATTGAATGAGCGTTTTTTAGGAATTCCCATACCATTTCCAATATTCGGAAGGAAAATCATTTGAAACTTTTCGAACTTTTCCATTGAAAAAATAAGGGATGAGTATACTGAAAGTCCTAAAACTTGTCACGAAAGTGCAATCAAGTTCTAAAACTTATCAAATTGGTTCAATCAAGTCCTCCCATTAATTCCATTCAATTTGGCTAACGGAAAATATTGACATGATTTTTTTTATTATTTTATCTATCCCATGTAGTGATGACGTGGTTGCCGAGGGCTTAGCGACCCCTGTCGGCCATCCCCTACCCTCTCCAGCCCTTTTCGGCGATGGTGGGGGAGCGACGACGCAAGGGCTTGTGGCCCTCAGTCGTCTGTATCTTAACCCCTCTTGTTTTTCTTTTTTAAAAAAATTTTAAATTTAGCTTATTTTAAACTTAAATAAAAAGTATTTTAAAAATCATATTTTGACCAAAACGACGTCGTTTTAACCTTATGTTCATTTTAGCCACGTCATCGTTACATAGGAGAGAGGAAATATTTAATAAAAGTCATGTTAGCATTTTCGTTAGCCAAATTTGACTGAGTTAACAAATAACTCAATTGAATCAATTTGACAAGTTTTATTACTCGATTGCACTTTTTGCAAGTTTTATAACTCGATTGTACTTTCGTAACAAAACTTTGAACTTTCAGTGCACTTACCCCAAAAAGTAAATCGATTTAAATAGCCGGGGCCCGGGACAAGGGCGGCCAGAGGCCAATTTGTCCGAATTAGAAGACGTCGGAATCACCATTTATGTCAGCAATCTCTTTCATCTCGATACATTTTCCTCACCTCTCCACACACGGTTGCTCATCAATTTGGTAATCTAATGTGAACCCCACGAAAACCATATAAATAAAATAAAATAAAATAAAAAAAACGGAAGGGAATTCCTTTGGTGATTAGCAGTCCATATGTTGTCACCATTCGCAATAATTATCATCCGGACGGACCATTAGCAAAGAGGACCTCGTCATAGAAATTCGACGTGAGGGGGTGGGGGGTGGGGCCCGCCGCACGGAATGACGGAACCGCCCCTCGCGTGCCCCCGGGCGGACCCACTCCCGCGAAGGGCAAAAGAGGGAATTCGGCGCAATAAAGAAAGGAATTCTCGTTATTGCGTGGGGGGAAAAGTCAATTCCTAACGGTATCCATCCACCGACCACCGACCTGCCCAACATCTGTCTTTGCCTCCCTTGTCCTTAATTAAAAAAAATTAAAAAAATATATTAAAAGTAAAGAAAAATTAAAAAAAAATGAAAAGTTAAAAAAAAGGAAAGGAAAGAGAGAGCATCAATCAATCAAACCCTAATAAAGAAATCGCACGAGATCGCAGAAAATATCCCGAGAAAAAAATATTCTTTTTTCCTTTTTTTCTTTTCTTGGCCTCCTCCTCCTTCCTTTCCTTTACCTTTCCCATGACGAATGACCTGACCTGACCCGACCCTTCTTTTTAAGTTTTTTTTTCTTTCCCGCAAACCCTTTCGATCTTTCCACATCACTGGAGCCGCACAGGCCAAGGACCAGCATCACCGCCACCGCCACCGCCACGCCCCCGTTTTTATATAACAACTTCGCTGCTGTAAAAAGAAAGGAAGAAAGAAAGAAAAGATAGAAAGAAAAACTGCGATGGTTGATGAAGTCCGCACGAGGCCAGAGACCCCCCTACTCCTCCTCCTCCTCCTCCTCCTCCGTGTTGTTGTGACCACACGATCTGTCAGGGGCGATCGCTATTCGCGTATTTAAGGGAAAGAGGGGGAACACGAGCCGCCCCCACCCCCCCGCGTTCGTACAGAGATCACCGAGATTCTGTCGGTGAAGTTTTTTTTTATGTGTTTTACCTCGCACCCCCCCTCCTGTTTTGATTAATGGTGTAGCCCGATTTGTTTTGTTTAAGAAATGAGGAGGGGATATGGTTCGTGGAATTCAACGTGGAGCCTTACCCAGATGACAACCTTAGTTGCCAAGATGGCAGGAAATCCAAAACAAAAGCCTTGCCCTCTTAACTAGGCCTGTCTCTGATTCTTGATATCTCTCTCTCTCTCTCTCTCTCTCTCTCTCTCTCTGCCGTTTCTTTTCCATGAAAATTCACCTTTTCTCTCTTCTTCATCACCTTCAGCAAGATATATATATCAAGACCCTTGTTCTGCTTCTTCTTCTTCTTCTTCTTCTTCTTCTTGTTTAGAAGCTGTTTTCAAATGGAAGCGGAAGGAGGTGGGGAGAGGAAGAGGGGCGTGGCGATGGAGAGGGAGAGGACCTACAAGGGCATAAGGATGAGGAAGTGGGGCAAGTGGGTGGCCGAGATAAGAGAGCCCAACAAGAGGTCGAGGATCTGGCTCGGCTCGTACTCCACCCCGGTCGCGGCGGCGAGGGCCTACGACACGGCGGTGTTCTACCTCCGGGGCCCGTCGGCGAGGTTGAATTTCCCGGAGTTCGTGGCGGGGGCGGCGGCGGCGGCGGAGGAGGAGGAGGAGGCGGGAGGAGGGGGTGACATGTCGGCGGCTACCATCAGGAAGAAGGCAGCAGAGGTCGGGGCTCGGGTGGATGCCGCGCTGATAAGCCGCGAGTTGAAGCTAGAGGGTAACGATAAGGGGGGCGATGATCAGTTCAAGAAGTGTGTTGGGGTTTTGGAGAGGGTTGATCTGAACAAGATGCCTGATGATCCTGAGGACTCAATATGATCACCAAAAGGGTGTGTTGGGGTTAGAGAGCAAGAGGATGATCTCTCTCTCTCTCTCTCTCTCTCTCTCTCTCTCTCTCTCTCTCGAATTATGATAGCGGGTGCATGCACTCGGTTCAGGTCAGCCTTCTGCATGCGGTTGCAACGGGCTTTAGATGCTACTTGCCAGTAATTCACTGGGTTGTGTGAATGGCTTAAGGAAATGATGAGGCTTATACCAGATGAGTTAGATAGTCCATAGTACCTCTAATTAATCTTATTAGCCCTTTTGAGTTAGCTTTTTGGGATCTGATCATCAAAGATTTCCGATGGTGTAAGAGGAAAAAGAAGGTGAAATGTAAATTAATCAGTTGGGTTTGATGCAGAGCCATCTTCTTCCTATGCCTCTCTCTTTCTTCACTGATCATAATTTTGTTTGTGGTACATAGTTCTTTAGATGGTATCGTTCTATTTCTCTCTCTTCCTTCTTTTCGGTATTGCAATGACTAAACATCAGCTGAAGAGAGAGAGAGAGAGATGGCCTACTAAGGAGCAGTTGGAAGCAAAGTGGGCACGCCTTAAACTGCTAAAGCAGAAAAGGATGTGAGAAAGACCTTTTGTAACTGCTGCTAATGATGAGTTGTGGGCACTGGTTGGTGCATGGGGCTGTGTTCCTACTGCAAACCCCAGATTGTCTGTCTTCTTTTGTTTCTTGACCTATTTGCAAAGGGGATGGATGTCTGCCAAATTTGAATAACCGGGCTATATGAACACTGAAAACAAAAAATTTACCATAGCGATCTGATTCGTGATGTCTTTGTGTCTATAGCATTGCTCGAATTGAAAACTCGGTATGCCTAGAAGATGTAGCTCTGGCAATCGCAACATCAGATGGGTGGGTTGTGGGCCACTTGACCTAAATGATATGGAGAAAGATATAAGGAAAGGATTGTGATTGAGCTCACCATAGCACTATAACAAACGTCGGACTTAATATGTTTCTGCTATGGGGTCCAATGTGAACCTTACATTTCCTTGGAAGTATTAATTGACTTGATTTCTCAGAATATGTTTGAGGAGTGTGTGTACTCACATTTTAAATTGGAGGGAAGATCCAACAACTTAAGCTGTGACAGAAGTTTCTGGCTGTTTTTTGCTGTTGTACCGAAATTTCGGTGTATTGTATTTAGTATGAATCAACATGGAGTATGAGACAAACCTCTACTTTCAAGAAGTGTAATCGACACCAAAAAAGAAGACCGAAGTGTATTTAAATGAAGAGCAATTGCTTTAAAACGCATTGTACCTAAGCAATATTGAATCATTTTTTATAATTTAAAGAAAACAACGGGCTTTTCCCCCTTTGGTGTGTCATTTGTTCGCTTCGAAATTGACAGCAGCAACAAATGCTTTGCTTCTCTTTCGACAATGGATAGCTTCAGACCAGTTTGGAAGGTTTCATCCAAGCATTTGCTTCATACTGTGCGAGTGATCAGAGTGCTGTTCTTAGTTGCAGGTCTTTGAAACTGGAGCATTGTTATTATCATGATACCGCCGTCCGCTGAATGCTTACAAATGGGAACATATATCACGACACCCTCTGATAGATTTGGGGACAAATTCCCCGGAAAGAGCATCAACTTATGATTAATGTGCTGAGAAGAAAAGGCATCAATTTCTCGGTCGAGATCCAAAGCCGGTACCTATTAAGCTGCCGTTCACTTTTGACATTAAAAATTCGACCCGTCATCTGATGTGCACCGAGCAACTCACGGACGCTGCTGACGTGCATTGCTGAGCAGGAGACCACATCGTTCCATGAGGCCCTTCGGTTAGGCCAATGGGGGGAAAATTCAAGAAAGAATTATGGATTTGGGTGATCCGTTACTCTTTCTAGGATTGAAGATAACCATCTAGCTTTGCTCCTTGGAACAACTCTCTCTTACAGTCCTATTGTAGTTTTTATGAAATGACAGCCAGCCTCCAGCCCAATAGTGCACTTCAGCAACGTCCATGAGGTGCACAGTGTGCATCCGAGGACAGGTTGTTAGCTTTTTGACGTTCATGGACAGCAGCTTTAGCAGGTGCCAAGGTTAGACCTCGACTAGAAATTGGCGCTTGATTTTGGCACATTTGAAAGTTGGAGCGGGGCCAAACGCATAAGTTTGTGCTTTCCTAGGGAATTTGGTCATTTGATGGAAGACTGCCAAACTTTTACGGCCCGGAGCAATCAACCAGCATATTGCCGGTCTTTACCAATGTCATCAAAGGTATCATGGAATCGTACAATTTGCGACTCAAGTTTGGTCAAAAAGATTTCACTCGTACTCGAAATCGAAAAATTAGTCAAATCATTGTCAAATCACAATCGGTCATGTCGATGAAATCGGGAAAAATGTGCAGAACAGTGAGATTTTATCGATTTCTCAACTAGATTGATTTAGGATCAGCCTTGATGAAGAAGTGGATAAAAGAACAGGCAGATGATTTGCTCTAAAGTTGCTAATTAGCGATTTCATGTGTTTTTGTTGTTAATGGACTGTTAAATCTAATTGGATTGCCGCTATTGTTATTCCTTCCCTATTTCTTGTTTGAACAGTGTTAGGAACTATAAACTATAATGGACTTATATTTTCATTAGGCTCTGACACTTCCCAATTCCATAAGTACTCCCACGAATCTTCAAAACTTGGGGAAAAAATTCATCTGTCGTTCATCTTTCAACTTAGAAAAGATTCAGAACCATTTCGCTAATCTCATGCCTAAGTTCAACAAGCAGACAGAGGCTAGAAGATCGATTAGTCCTATTTCCGTTCAGCCACTACCAACTTCTGCAGCGTTTTCGAGCTAAAATCTGTCATTTTCTTTCCTTCACCTTTCTTTTTGTCTTTCAAGAATACTAACCAAGAACGCTGAAGGCAGTGACTAACACTAATCAATTCCTGGTTGATACTCTTATATATATTTATACGATTCCAATCAGGTCAGTTCCCGTCATACAAAGCAAAACTTGATAAATAGAAGCAGCATTGCTTTTCAACCTGCGAGAGAAAACCAATCCTCCTTTCCAACCCCAGTTTCCTCAAATGCTTCAATTGATCAACAGGTACTTCGCTTACACTTCATTGGCATGTTTTATTTGAAGGGCAGCTCTTACAACATTCCCTCTTGTGATGATGCCGACCTTCGTAACGAGAAACTGGGTTAATAAAACCAGAAACCATAATCGATACAACTTATTGAGAGGCAACAAATGATCTCTTACCAGCTTTCCCTCAGCATCTACAACTGGAAGTCGACGATATTTTGTTTCAAGCAATATCCTGACATTAAATGCATGGAGGGAAAAGTTAACAGGAAAGAACACCGACAAGAGGCAGAAGGATCGAAGGAAAAGATATAGACAGAACCTGGCAGCATCCTCGAGATTTGTGGTCTCACGGACAACTTCAGGAGCCGGTGTCATCAAATCACCAACCACTTGGCCATTGGTCTTGCTGAGCAATTTCTGCACTTCGTTGAAGGTCTGCAAGATCATTGTCAATATGTATGTATATCATCAGGTACTCCCGAGGCAAATATGAAAGACAGTTTCTCTGTATATTAGCAGCAGCAGTTGCTCCAAAAGTGCTTCCTGGATACCCCACATCAATGATGGAACCAGGGAGGGTCTGATGGGGGCAGTCGTCACGACTGACTTCTAGATGCTCGATTAAAATTTTATAATTAAATACTCTACTCTGAAATTTGACGCTAAGTTTCTTTATTTAGCCTAATGAACTAAAAAATTGCAAAATCTTTATCTGCTCTCACCGCCCGGCAAAGATTTCACATCTAACACAACCCTACACTGTTATATGCTTAAACTTACATAATTACATCTCTAAAAGAAGAGCTCTTACTCACTTTCCATGTGCTGTCAACTTCAGGGAACATGCTGTTGTCAGCTCGCCCACCACCTAATGAAGATGTGCATATGACATCAGTCACTCATTAAACTCATGAAGCATCGAAACATCTGCAGATAGTCAGCATTTCCAAAAACAACCACTGTTTCCAAGTCGAAATTCGAATCGTGAATCGTAAACCTCATTTTCTGGATCGCCAATCGTTACATTCGGTAAGAATTGTAAAAGAACTCCAAAAAAATAAGCATTTATTACTAAAATTATGCTACTTATTGCAAAATGGACATAAAAAGCATGTTATAGTAAATACTGTTGAGAAAATTATACCCAAAACTGACACTGCTCTATGGTCAATACCCAATTTAACTTCTAACTTCTGAATATTATAGAGGTGCAAAATGACAAAAAAAAAAGGCCTCAAACACTTAAAAGGAAAAAAAACTGTCAACCACATTTAAAAACTTCAACATATACAAAATAATCAGGACTTGATTATAGTCTGTCGAAGCCAGCTAAAAAGACGAGACTAATCCTAGATACTCAATCTGTGACTCTTGTCCAAGCATGCGATTTAAAAAAGCAAAATAGGATGGTCAGAGGTGTGATGGCCAGCACCGGAGGTGCCAACGGCTGGCATTGTCGCCAGAGGTGGCAACAGTTGGTGTTGAGCCGGTGACGGCTGGTCAAGAACCGACGAAAAGCAGTCTAGCAGCTTTTCGAGTTCCTACGCTACCCAGAGGGCTGAGAGAACAAAGGTCTTCTGGCATGTTTGCACATTTTCTTATCTTTTTTCTCTTCACTTGTTCTTTTCAATTTTTGAAAATTTTTCTCTTTAGAACCCAATACTTTTGAGCCAAACCTCTATTATAAAGCCTAATAGTGCAAATTGTGGTTGTTCTCCCGAATTGTAGAGAATTGCAGAATCCTACGATTTGCATCGTATCAGAGACGAATCGTACAATTCACTTACGATCATGCACTCTTATGATTGACGAATGCAAGACGAATTGTTTGAAGGGTGCACTCAAACAAATCGTGCCATTCGAATCGTGAATCGGGTGATTTTTACAACAGGGCAGAAAACTAGTAAACACTAAGCACCAATAACAATAATCGCAGAAGTCCAGCAGAATCATTCCCAACTCAAAGAGAGGGCATCTATGCACGGCCATAGAGATGTACAAATATTACACCCATATGAGAGGAACTAGTAAGTTAAATATTTTGATAGTTTTACAGATCATCTCATGGCTTTGATTTCTCTGTCTTAACTTAAGAATATCACCAAGTCCCCTTGAATACCACATTAGCATTATTACCTCCTGCCATTTTTCCTTTGATCAAATTAAGGTATAGGTATTGTAGAAACATTATGGATGCAGGAACAATACAATTTCAGATATTCTTTTTGCAAGAATTACGTTCTCTGAATCTATTTCAACCGAGTTTCTAGTAAATACTGTTGACTTTAAAATGTTTTATTACAAAAAATGGGAAGCTCAATACTGAGTTGACATAACACCACCGATGCCAAATGCAGTTTGTGCTATTACGCTTGCCAGATTTAAAACGTTAAACATAAGGAGAGAAAACACAGAACGCCAACAACTAAGAAGGACCTCATGAAATTGCTAACGATACACATGAATTTCGAGAAGTTTCCTAAAATGTCTAATAAAGGCAACAAAAAAATATCAATGGTACCTGATATAGAGTCCAAAGCTAACAAATCATAATCAGAAACAAGACCAACCTGCCAAAAAAAGCCACTCATGAGCATTTATCATGGGAATCTAATGACTTACCCATCACAGGGAACGGATGTCACAGAATGAGCAACCAAACTTGGATGACAGATCGACATAGTAGCAAAACAGCAGACTCACAGAAAAGTGCTGATTGTTAAGTACAATGAAAAGAAGGAAATAGATCAACAATTATAAGTTGAAGATTTGCCGTGAAGAAGCTAGCAGCTAAGGCCATACTTGGGAGATGAGGGGAGAAAAAATCGGTACAGAGAACAAATAAACGATGTTTGAAGCCTATTTAATCTAGCAGAACCAGTAGGCATGCGGGTCAACAGGATCAGGATATACAACACACTCTGCTCCCTCTGAAAATATGGTGCCAAGCCCTACCAACTAAGCACAATTTGTAGTTTGATTAAAGCATCTCAAAACTTGCCTTTCTAAAAACATATGGCTATGGGTTTCTGATCAGTGAGCAGCAATATTCAAATCAACAAGGCCACAATTAGCAAAAAGGAGAGAACAAGAAGCATACCAATTTCCAGTCATCATCAACTACAGGAAAACCAGTGATTCTGTTCTCCACAAGCATCTCCAATGCTGATAAAACAAGATGAGTAAAAATCCTGACATCTTCAAAATTTCCAGAAACATGATATTCAGAAATACCTTCATCTACAGTTGTATATGGCTTTACCACATGCAGATCCTCTTTTCTTGTCATGAAGTCACCAACTGTGTATACGCTACTTTTTGGCTAATTGAAACAGGAAAACAAATATGTAAATACTATGCAGAAATTCTAGGATGATACATGACATAAGCCGTCTTATTAAATAGTATGACTCTAAAATGCACTTGTTGAAGACATGGGAAACCATATGAAATCCGAAAATGTAGTGTACTTCATATGAATTAAAACATTCATATCTGGCAGAAAGAGGACCAGATACAAAACTTTAAGAGATTCGCTATGTTCATCTACTCGCGGAACTTCTTTTCCCATGTCACAACTCACAAGGTAGATTGACAGGCAGGATAGTGCCTTTACTCATGCATCAGTAACCATCAAAGATAAAAATGGAATTATGATACACAAACATTTGCAAATGTTGCAAAAGCTAAAGGATGCAAGAAGATCCCCATATCTCTCCTGTTTTCATAGTTTCTCCTACCACGGAACAGCATGAACGAACTAGTTCCATGAAACTCTGAAGGTCATTATGGGAAAGCTAGAGATGGATAATCCAAGATGCCTCTTTGGAAGATGCATGCTTTGAAAACTTTCTTTCTTTACCCACCCATCGGTGGCCGCGTTGGTTTGCACTTGGTTCCTTTCACGAGAGGTCCTGGGTTCAAAACTCGCCCATCGGTGATTTAAGTGGGGGGTCGTGGCGGTGGGATGCTGCGCTAGCCCCCCTCGAGGACTAGTCGGGCATCACCGCTGGTTTGAGCCCTAGCTCGCCGGCCGCGCGGACACCTCGATTATCAAAAAAAAAAAAAAAAAAAATTTCTTTCTTTAATAGGTTAATGAGTGTTTGGAAAACTATATTCCGATTTTTTTCAACTCTTTTAAGTTCTGCATTCATTCTCCATGCATGGTACTATGGTAGTTCTACACAATTCCCGCAACCTAAGGATCAGAAGCCCAACTTGACTGATGCCTAAAAGGTTTGAAGATACAACTCCAACCAATAAGCCAAAGGTAAGAGCAATGGGGAATCTAAAATAACAAACCAAACCAGAAGGAGATTTCTCAGTAACAAGATGTCACGGAGAATAATATAACTTTACATTTCCAAAGACGGTACAAGCAGAACATATGTATACCTTGAAGAATCTCAGGCATAATATAATAAAAGGGATGCAGACACACAGCATCCATCTTGATCACATGAACAAAAAAAAAAAGGAACACCTAACCCAAGTGAGCTATGCACATGATTGATTGATTTGAGGGACCTGGAGCAAAACATCGAACTACTGATTTCTAGCAAAACTGTGCAAGCTGGCAGCTCAATCATTCACAAGATCAACGAAATGCCGCTTGGGATAGTCCTAAATTCTGCAACTAATACACTGATGTATTCAACCGATTCTGTTCCTCTTCCGAGAAAAAATAGGCATAAGCTCTGGTGTGGTATCAAAGCATGCTGCAAAAAGCTTCCGGAATTGATCACAAAGTATACATAAATCAACTGTAGCTAATTGTTCTATTTGTGCTCCAATGCACAATATAGAAATATTCCTGCTCTCAGCTGCTAAAGCTATCACGGCACAGCAACTGCAGACCACATTTACCAGAGGAGACCCATCTCGATATTGCCACTAAATCACCTCTAAAAGTGGTGTTGGGGGGGATAACAAAACCCGACTCATCCATGAAAGCTGACCATGATTCAGAGCGAAACGCTTGCAGTCCTAGCAAATTACACAGTAGAAACCTTAGGAGTAACTAAACTAGGTCAGAAGAGAAACTTAGTATAGTCATTTGCAATACTGACGATGCAAATCTTATACCGGATAAAGTCGAGCCAAGCTCAGTGAACTAGCGGAAACAAACTTTTTCCGATTGCTCAACATGAGACTCACTAATCCCCTGGAATGCAATGTCATACGATCATAACCGGCACAAGAGACTCGACTTCCTAACAAACACCAGCGCCCTCAAATTCATCTGAGGTTGCACATCGCAAACACAGCCTCGCCCAGAGAGATTACAAATACATTCCACCAAAGAATCGCAAAGCGCAGAAAAACATCAAAGAGATTTCCAAACCGATTAAGCGCGGAGGACAAGAAACACGAAAATGAGAGCGCGAGAGAGACAGAGAGAAAGCGACGAACCGGCACGGGATTAGCCGTGAGGGTGCCGCTGGCGGCGACGGCGGGGGATTTGCAGAGACCTGGAACCCGATTCGCGGAGACCGAAGCCGGATTGGGGAGGAGACGGCCGAGCCCGGAGGCCGGAACGACGGACGGCGGCGGCGGACGAATCAGGCAAGCGGCGGAGCGGAGGCGAGGGCGGGACGGCGAGAGCGACGGAGAGAGTACTGCGTCCATCGTTCGCCGGCGACTCTGCTTGCTCCGTAGGCCGATGACGTCAGCGAGAGAGAGAGAGAGAGGGGTTCTCTGGTTTCCGCCGGAGTTCGGAGAAACCGGAGAGAGCAGACAGCAGCACCGACGAAGATGATTTTATTCTTTGAAATTTCTTTTTTTTTCCTTTCTTTTTTACGATAATTGGTGATTTTTCTTTTTTCTTTTTGCTCCGAGAAGAAAAACGATATTTTTAGCGGCCGACCATGCGGTGGCGACGGCGCCAATGCTGCCTCCCAATTTTTTTTTATCCAAAAGTCACGACTTTCATTTCACAAATAATTTATCGTAGCTTATGGATAAATTACAATAAATGCACGAATTTTGTTTTGCTTTCGTTGTATTATTAGACCCGATGTTCCCATATAGGATGCATGGTTAAAGATTATTATTTGGATAAAGGGAAAAGACAACAAAATATCCAAACTATGCTTACTGTGACACATTCATCATAAAAAAATCTCAAAAGTATATCCACTCTGACACATTTACCATAAACTTTTCTTATGACATAAAAAGCCCCAAGCTTGTTCCTATATGATATATTTACCCTGCGTCAATATTTTGTCAAATGATTTTCCAGGCAAAATAACGTTATCTACATGGACGTCATGCCAATGCCATTTGCTTTTCGGCATCTATAAAGGTAGATTTTTAACGGTGTTCATTGATGAAATCTTAACGGAAGGTAATGTGTCACACAGGCAGAAGGTTGGGATTTTTGGTATCCCGAAAAAAAGTTTAGGGTAAATGAGGACACGAAGGAGGCATAGGGAATAGATTATCAAGTGGAAAAGATGAAATCGGTAGTACATACTAAGTCAGATGATGATGTTACTCATGATCGGTATATGGGGACCTGGAGGAGGCATACGGAAGATGACTTTAGCAAAAGCAGTATACAATGCTACATCAAGACCATTATGTGGATTCAAGTTTCCTAGAGTTAGAGAAACTTGGAACAAATGCAAGGATCTAGTTCCGTTACGAGATTGCATAAAAAATTGACTGTGTATAGTGTCGACAATGGAATTAGTTTGATGCAGGAAAGATTTCATCGCAAAAAAGTTTTTCTTCTTCTAGATGATGTTGATCGGTTGGATTAATTCCAGAACAAATTATCAATCGAGTTCTCAAGACAAGCTTTGATGGCTGCCCTCGGCCGCCGGCCACCTCCCGCCTCTGGCCACCCGACGCCGGCCGTCACCCACCATTGGCCGCCATCCTTCTCCACCGGTCGCCGTGCTCCATCGACCGACGATGGGCACCCTCTGCCGCCAGCCACCTCCCGCCGCCGCCCCCCGCTGCCGTCACCGCCGCCCGACGCCACCGTGCTCCGCCGCTGACCGCCGTGCTCCACTGCCTCCCACCGCCGGCCGCCATCCTCTGCCGCCGCCGACCACCGTCCTCCGCCCCCACCGCCACCCGCCATCCTCCGCCGGTAGCCCGAGAAGGGAGAAACTCGTCCATGGAATAGAAATGGATCATTCGCGCCCTAAACGCGTTTCTATTCTTTTCTATTCCAGGAATAGAAATTTTGTGCGATTCATTAAACGTTATTTTTTGCTCAGAAACTGTTCAAAGAAATAGAAATAGAAAAAACTATTTCTGATCAAAAATTATTTTTGGGAACAGAAACATTGCTATGCAAACCCGAAGAGTTTTCTCGACGTCGCCTGTTTCTTCAAGGAGAAGAGTATAGATTATATCGAAAAAATTCTTGACAGTTGTGATTTTGACACAACTATAGAAATAGAAATTCTTCGTGGAGAGATCATTGATAAAATATGAAAACTAGTCCTTGCAAATGCATGACCTGTTTTAGTTGATGGGTAAAGATATCATCAATCAGGAAAATCCCAAAGATCCTACCGGACGCAGTAGAGTATGGTTTTGTGATGGTGTTGTCGAAATTCTGTCCAAAGACATCGTAATCAGTTAATTTCAATTTTACTTATGTTCTTTTTTTCTCTAACTATTACATGGCTCGGCTGTATAAATCATAGCACATATTTTGTGTTACACCTGAATAATGTTGACATTCTCTATTGTGGCCTAGGCCCTAGGGAACAATCCAGCAGAGGCCATAGTGTTAGATTCCTCCACACCAGAAGAGATCGCTGTCAGTCCTGATGCTTTCACAAACCTGAAAAGGTTTAGATTGCTCATTCCATCAAATCTGCATATCTCTACACAAGCACCTATATGTTTGCCCAACACGCTAAGATGGCTTGAATGGTCCGATGACTCAAATCAGATCTTGAATTTGGCTCGAGGCTGAAGAAGCCTGTCGAACCCGATGTCAAATTTAGTCATCCCAAACGAGGACGGACATTGGAGTTACACATCTTGACGAACATGTTTACATTCGCATGGTTGTAGGACTTCTGAGGCTTACCGACTGCATTAGTTGTTTTTGCAGCATATTACAGAAATGAAATACTTGTCTGTCAGTCGCTGCAATTCACTGGCTAGCGTTCCTGACCTCTCATCACTTCCAAATCTCGAGAGCTTTCTTCTTGTTGGATGTAAAAGATCGGTTGAGGTTGATCAATCTGGTAGTTTTGATATCAAGCTAAAGATTTTGGAAATAGATGGCTGTTCGAACCTTAGCATTTTGCCTTTGCCTGCTCAAGTCAAAATCTCTTAAAACCCTCAAGTTCCAGAAACAATGGAAAATTCTGAATATCTTAAACCAGATGCCGCAACTATTATAGAACTTCCTACATCAATTGAAAATCTTGTCTGGATGAAGCATATGGATTTAACAAATTGTGACAACCTCGTAAGGCTTTCATCTAGCATTTATAGGTTGCAAAAGCTCGTGCGTCTGAATCTTGGAGGATGCTCGAAATCCGTCATGTTTCCAAACAATAGGATGATTCAACTAATACGGGTAAGGACGATAGGAATCCAAAATCTATTTTGGCTGATCCTAAATGGCTGCAATCTATCAAAAGTGGAGTTTCTCGGGACTTCTTCCAGTTTTCCAAAGTTGACGTGCTTAGATCTTTCAGAAATCAAGATTTCTCATCTGCCAACATGCATCCAAAAACATGTCAATTTGCGAGAATTCTATGTTGATAAATGCAAGCAATTACAAGAGATTCCAGAGCTTCCTCTAAGTAAACGTTTCCTAAGAGCAGTTAGCTGCAATTTGCTGCATGAAATCCCAGTTTTGTCTAGTGGCTTCAACAACCTTACTGCTGGTTTCTCCTTATGTCATGAGTTATTCCAGAAAAGAGTCAACGTTGCTGATGTAAATATTCATGAGAGGTAGAGTTGCAACCCGATGAGATAGTAAATATTCTGCGGAAGCACATCAACCTTCAGCTCCTTTAATGGTGGCTACTTCGAATCTGGAAAGGAACTACCATGTGTTCCTGAGTTTCAGAGGCATGGATGTCTGCAACAACTTCTAGGTCATCTCTACACAGTTCTTGATCAAGAAGGAATCTATACTTATATTGTCGACTCTTTCAGTGGAGTATACGAGATGCATCAGAGCGGGAGCAATGCATGCAGAAGCAAATGCGCCGAGAGGACGCTCTCTGGATTTACTTACAATGATCTTTTTTTTCTTTTCTGTTGTGATTATGTTGAAGAACATATTATACACGTTTGATTTGATGCAGTGAAATTATGAAGTATTATGTGATCTTTAAATATAAAAATTGTAGAAAAATGATTACAATCAAATTTCAATCTAAAACAAACAATCGATAGAGAAATTGACGAAATAAATAAGAAAAAATATTCATCACAATGCCTAGCACAAAAAAATAAACCTAAAGCAACAAAAAAATTACAAAAGCGGAAAATCGTTCGTTGCCTTTGCTATCAAGACAACAAATACGTACCAAAGGCAACAGAGTAAGAAATTTTGTTCGCCCTAAGCAAAGGCGACGAAGCAAATGCATTATAAGGGTAAGAAGAAATGGTTACGATCTTTGAGAAACATATTCTATGGGAAAAGTGCCAAAAAAGCCCTAAACCTTTTGCATTAGTGCCAATTTAGTCCTAAACCTTTTTTTGGTGCCAATTCAGTCCTAAACCTTTTGCATTGGTGCCAATTTAGTCCTAAACCTTTTTTTGGTGCCAATTAAGTCCTAAACCTTTTAAATTGGTGCCAATTCAGTCCTAAACCTTTTATTTTTGTGCCAATTTAGTCATTCCGGCCAATTTAGACCGGAATTTGCCTACGTGGACGCCTGCCGGCCGGCGGCCGGTCACCGGCGCTGACGTGGCGCCGACGTGGACAACTTTAATATTTTTTAAATATTTTTTTGAGTTTTTATTTTTTTCCGTTTTTTTCCTTTTTTTTTTTCCACTTTTTTTTTTGGTTGTCTTCCTCCTTCCTCCGGCCGGTCGCCGGTCCGGCGGCCGTAGGCCGAGGCCGGCGAGCTCGAGCTCGCCGGCCACCGTGGCGAGGGCGAGCCTCGCCTTGGTCGGGCGAGGCTCGAGCCTCGCCGGAGGCCGCGGCGAGGGCGAGCCTCGCCTTGGTCGGGCGAGGCTCGAGCCCTCGCCCGACCAAGGCGAGGCTCGCCCTCGCCCGACCAAGGCGAGGCTCGCCCTCGCCGCGGCCTCCGGCGAGGGCTCGAGCCTTGCCTTGGTCGGGCGAGGCTCGACCTCGCCGGATCGGCGAGGTCGACGCTCGACCTCGCCAGATCCGGCGAGGTCGGGCTCGCCCGACCATGGCGAGGCTCGCCTCGCCGCGGCCTCCGGCGAGGGCTCGAGCCTTGCCTTTGGTCGGGCGAGGCTCGACCTCGCCGAGATCCCGGCGAGGTCGAGCCTCGCCCGACCATGGCGAGGCTAGCCCTCGCCGCGGCCTCCGGCGAGGGCTCGAGCCTTGCCTTGGTCGGGCGAGGTCGGCGCTCGACCTCGCCAGATCCGGCGAGGTCGGGCCTCGCCCGACCATGGCGAGGCTCGCCCTCGCCGCGGCCTCCGGCGAGGGCTCGAGCCTCGCCCGACCAAGGCGAGGCTCGCCTCGCCGGCGAGGCCGCCCTCGCCAGTGGCCGGCGAGCTCGAGCTCGCCGGCCTCTGGCCTCTGGCCGGTCGCCGGACCGGCGACCGGCCAGAGGAAGGA